TGGTAGGCACAGAGATGGTGGGTATAGCAGGAAGGGAATGCATGGAGAAGTTGAATGAAGCCAAACTGGCCTGCAACTTGGCCATATCTACATTGAGTCTGGAATGAGCAGTGGTGTTTGACTCAGAGCAGTGTCTGGCAGCCTGATCAGGAATGAGAGCAACTTGACAAACTTCACAGCAAAGAGCTGGAAGTCTGGTATTAACAGCCAAGTGCAGGCTGGCCAAGTATGCATCCTGGTATAATTCCTAAGAGTGCATGGTCAGTGACAGAGTCAAGAGTTGAAGTTCAACAGATCAAACTTACAGTTGGCAAGGCAGGTTCAGGCTGAGGCAGAGGTGGATCTTCATAGTCTAAGAACTGGGCCCTGAATATTATGGGAGCAGCAGAGGAAGATGGAGAAGTTGGGAGAGTTGGAGATGGTGGAAAGGAAAGTGGGGGAGAGGACACTCTGGGACTTGAAACCTGGGGCCTGAGAGAAACAGGATTGGAAGTTTGAGATGCAAGATTGTAAGTTAAAAATATAAATCAAAAGTGCAGAGTACAAGCTTACCTCTTGAAGACTTGAGTTGATATTGGAACCAGAGTCCTGAAGGGCAGGAGGGGAACCAACACCAGAGCCAGAAGTCTGATTGAAAATTTGTGAGCTCTTTGAAAAATATTTCTAGGAAAAAACAGTGACTTACTTCAATTTTCCAAGTTCCTTTGTATTTGGACAAGTGTTTGCGCAGGTTATAGATATTGCTATAGCCATTGGGATCACATTTGCCACTGTCACATTGGCAGAAAAACTTGTCATCTTTATCTTTGGAGATGACAATAACTCCACTAGGCAAGTTAAGAGTTCCAGTTTTGACACAGTTTTTTCTATGAGTGTCCAACTGAGCTTTGGTTAAAAAAGTGGCTGAGTTGCAAGAAGTGCAGGAAAAAGATGTTTTTGTTGATTTTGGTGACATAGTGAAGAGAAACTGATAAAGCAGAGAGATGAAAGTTGGATAATTAGATGGTGTTGGTGAAAGAAAAGAGAGAATCTTGAAGCCAAAGGAACCAGGAAAGGGCCAGAAATCCAAGGGAATCTAAAAACCCAAGAAAAAAAAACCAAGTAAAGGCAAGTCCAAGGTGATGGTCCAAGTCAGTCTCTTCCAGAGGTCAATACACAACCCTCTCAGAAGAGTCGCTCACTGACACCTGAAAAACAATACTGCTCCAACCAATGAACAATTCTTTTCAGGAAAACGCCCTGCGCTCAACGGAGTTACTGCGATATTGCACTGGTGCGAAGCTTTAGCCCCGGTGACCGGCAGCCAAGTCCCACAGAATGTCAAAGAGAGGGAACAGCAAGCAAGTAACTACTATCTAATAGTCAGTCTAAGCTAAGTAACAAGCTACAAGCTATGCAAAGATAAGTCAGATATGGCTGAAAACTCAAAGAGATATAACACAACATACCTTTGAAGCAAAGTAGCCTGGAAAAAGCAGCCAACAGTGTGCAACAACAAGAGTTGTGCTACAGAGGATGAGGTAGAGCAAGAGTTTTGACTACAAAAGAGGAAAAAGATCAAGTTATAGATAGTTTCAAAGTGGCAAATAGATTATCAAACCTACCTGCAAAATAGCCTAATCAATAGAAGTAGCAGCAGAGATTGTAACAGGAGTCAAAAGTGCAAAGATAGAGAGTGACAGACAAATGATGGGGGGGAGAAAGAGTGAAGAAGGACTTGGTGGGAAACTGGGGCCTCTTATATAGGCTGAGGTGTGACAGTGCAAGGCCAAAGAGTCTAGGCCAAGGCTGGAATAGATGACATCATAGATATAACCTAGGCCAAAGCTCTAAAACAAAAGGCCACTCTAGTGACATCCTAGATGGCCTGGCCAGCAGTCTAGGCTCCTAGAGCTTGAATCTAGACCTATGATTCTTGAGAGTGACATTATAGATGATGTCATAGGTACAGGCCTAGACTTATATGACTCATCCAAAGTGAAGCCATCCCAGCTTGGACACTTGTGTGAAGATCTGCAGATCTGCTCGATGATTCGCCTGGCCGAAAATAGAAATTGAATAAGGCATGAGAAAAAGATTCCGAAGGCAGATCTGAACTCTCCTTATCTGCAGCTTTCCGACGGTATATAAAAATTGCATATTGGTGCAATGTCCATATTTTCTATCGGTCATAATTTTTTTCACTGTGCCGCATTTTTTTTTGTATTTTGCATTTATAGCCTTAACCACTTATCGCGCGATAACTCTGAGACGATATATGGATAGCCACAGCGCGAGACTACGACTTTCATATATGTCCCAAAAAGGAAATGCTGACATAATATGGCCGCTTTGTCAGCTTCTATAGTCACATGACTTCTCCAGTCACGTGACCTGCTGCTCCAGTGACATGTGACTGGCTTCTGCAGCTTCTACAGTCACATGATCGGCTTCTGTAGCTTCTCCAGTCACATGACCTGCTGCTGCAGTCACATGACTGGCTTCTGCAGCTTCTCTAGTTACGTGACCTGCTGCTGCAGCAGCTGGCAGAAGCTTCGGCAGAAGCTTCTGCGGACTTATAGGTATAAGTCCCCCCGTAAGAGGGCTAGACAACATCTCAAGCAGTGCACAGAAAGTGATCATGAATGAATACCATTGTTATCCATCCACAAACACACTGACACAACCTTAAGCTACCGCGTCAACTACGTAGAGTACCTGCTGTGGACGGACGAACAGTCCTCGAGACTCTGACACAGACATATCAGATATCGCTGGGGAAGCACTTCGAATGCGCTTGGCCCTCTCAACATTAAGTTGATCTCCTTCCCGCTTCAACGTCTGAGATCCCGTAGACCAATCAACTCGTCGTCTTCGGATACGCTCATCCCCATATTCCCACTCTGACAATGTCCCGATATCGAAATATCGAATACCTCCCCACGAACCATCATTCCATTGCCTATCATCCATCTTGTCGTCCGGGAAGCTGTCATTGACAGGAACCTCAACACCTACCCAGGGGCCAGCTTCGCCCTCGACTTCGCCGATGTAACGAGCATATGCACGGAAACGAGCTCGCTTGGAAGAGATGATACAAGGAATGCCAATGTCCAGTGTCGCACCTCGAGGCAAAGTCTCCGACGATGACGGACCAGTTGTGGATTCTGTTATGGTATCCGATGACGATTTGCGTTTGAGAGAGCCCTTGATGGTGGACGCACTATCCTGTTTCTCGTGTGACTTGGTCGTCGAGAAGGTGTTCTTGTCCTTAAGAACGGTAGACGGCATCTTACCAGACGGTCCACTCGCAGTTCGAGACACCTGAGGAGAAGGACGCAAGCTTGTCGTTGTCTTACGCGAGGAGCCCGGTCTTGATGTAGTTGACGTAGTCGACATTGTCGAGCGCATGGAAATGTTAGACGGCGTCCGTTTCGCCATTGGGGTTAGCTTGTTGTGGTCTATGGGCGGTACCGCAGGGCGTTTCGTTCTTGGCGAGGGTGAAACCTTAGATGCGCTGGATGCTGGACGTGAAGGCGTGGTCTTGGGAGATGGAGTCCCTGTGGTTCTAGTGCTGACTGTTGAAACACTCGACGCTGTAGAGACCCGACGTGTTCGCGGCGCAGAGCTAGGGGGGATGTCGGACTTGGCACTTTCGAAGATAGTAGAGCCGTCGCTCGTTGTAGAGAGGGTGGAAGAAGGCCGTGAAGAGCTAGATTGTGGCCGTAAAGTGGACGATCCGGGCACCGGACGTCTAAGAGTTGATGCAGTCGAGCGGGTGGACCGAACAGATGCAGCGCTAGACTTTGGCCTCGGAGTACTTTGTTCACTTGGGGTGACGGAGGTAGTCGCTGCTGAACGACGGCTACTAACAACGCTGGACGTTGAAGGGAGCTTTTTGAGCGGTCTACCATCGACTGAGAATAGTGAAGATCGGGGAGAAGAGGGTCTGCTATCCTTGGGTGTAAGCTTCGAATCAGGCCGAGGGCCAGGCGGGACGAGAAGTCTACTTGAGGATGTAGCAGTGCTCGCACGGGAAACCGTCGAATGAGTACTGCGGGCGACAGATCGGATTGACGCAGACGAGGATGTGATCGCTTCTCCCGGCGACCTGGTAACATTACGGTTCAACACGCTGGTACGCAAGTGCATGCTAGCGGTATCATTATCATCCGCTTTCGGTGTGCGCGGAGAGCCTCTAGTGGGCATTGCCTTGGGTGTAGACGGCGCGAACAAGTCCTCTTCGTTCAGTTCCATTTCTATCCATGTGGGGTGTGAAAACTCGGAAGTTATTATACGAGAGTATAAGTAATTACCTTGAGCGAGTTCCTTCAGTGCCCAGCCATGTAGTCCTTCGAATCCACCTTCTTGACGAATATTGATCCATCGTCTACGCAGCCAGCGCACGACGTCCATACGAGCCTGTTCAACTTGTACACGGACATGAGATGTCGATGACAAAAGCGGCTGCTCGGGGTCAGAAGGATTCGATCGTACAAGGATCGCGTCAACGAGGACCTATCGTGTGATGAGCCGAATGTTCCCCTCCGGAAAGTGACAAAAGCAGGCATACCTGATAAAGACCAGCACCATTCTTTTCATTCATACCTCGCCTTAACGATTCCATAGTCCATTCGACATGCTCCCCATCCTCAAAACGTGAACCATCACCCTCCATAATTTCCAGCCATTCGACCTGCTCGAAGCATTCGGCCGCTTGAGTCGCTAGAACATCATCAATAGTCTTGCGTGCCGTCAAGACCATCTCCTTCGAAATATCGGCCCATGGCTCAACGACGTTTTCAAGTTTCTTGAGCGCCGTGTGAGAAGCGAAAAGCAAAGGGAATATATTGAGGGGTGTTGTTCGTTTGGCAAGACCCTTGAGAAGCCCATCCCGAAGCTTCTGAGGTAGATGCGCGAATTCGGGTGTACACCATCCTTCGCCGAAGAGTCCGACGAGTGCACGACGAGCGCCCCGTTCCAGATTGGCGTTCTTGACATCATCCGATAGCGCGAACTCCAGTATACGAGGAGCGCGACGCGCGCATTGACGACATTTACAACCACCAGTACCCCATTTTCCGCCAGTGATATTCTCGTACTCATTGAATTCGAGGAAAGCGTGGAATAGGCCATGCATCATCTCTTGAACAATACGTGCTTGAATTTCATCGTAAAGGGTATCCATATCCAGATAGGTTGCGGAACGCATTATGTGGAAGGCAGTCTCGAGGTCGAACGTTCGATGGGAGAAAATCAGAGTACCGGTATAGAGGAATCCGAGGGTAAAATGGAGAGATGCCGGGGTAAATGGTGGAGAAGGTAGGTTCAAAGTGAGCTGTTCTCCGGGTTTCTGCGATGTGCCCCATTGCAGTAGTTGAGCGCGAAAGTACGGTGAACGGGAGACCAACATAAAACGATGAGAGGAAAAAATAGCGGTCGTAGTGTCATGATTTGACGAAGAGAAAGTGCCTGTGAGGGCGATCTTGACATCTGAATACAAACGCGATCGCCACATGAAAACGAGGTCCTTTCGCAACTTGTCGATTCTGGCTTCCTCCGCATCGCCTTCCTCACGGCTTTCGGAAGTGTCAAAGAGGAACTCGAAGGCTTCTCCGAAGCCCTTACCGGTGTAGAGGTACTCGAGCTCATTGGAAAAGAGTGCTGGATTGATAGATGTGGGGAGACGGAGAAGAGCACCGGTGTTGGTAGATGGAGAAGGAGAAGAGGCTCGGAAGGGAGACGGTGATCGTGAAATCGCACCGAAGTCCACGCCAAGGGTCAATGAAAGAGCGGATTGAGCAGGAAGGGTACCGGTTGGTGAGGAAGAATATGGTACAGGGGACGTGGCCGGAGGTGGGCGGAAGGAGAAGTAGCGAGCTTGGAAACTAGGTGGCGCACGAGCATATACGATTGCTACAGAATGCGAAACCGTAAGTTCATTGCTATAGAATCTGAATGAGAGGTAACATACCTTTGTGACCCCATACTTCATCAGGTTCCTGAGAACGATTGGTATCCTCATTCAGCAACTCCCAGACGACATCTGGGAATCGGTCCTTGGCATCATTAAAGAGGGACTGAAGATCACTCTGCCATGCAGCGGTCGAGAGCCGGGTTGCTTCGAGCAGAGCAGGTGGAGTAGGGGGGGAGGACATTGGAGTGGGGAGAGATAAAAGAGAATAATAGAGCAAGTTGGCCTAAAGTAATGTGGTTTGTTGGATGAGAGTAGGGACAAAGGAATCCGATAGAGAGCTACGAGAGCACAGAAGAAAACACAGGTATAAGGAGCGATGAGATGGTTCAAGAGTTGCAGAAAGGGTATCAGGCGATAGTCTAAAAGCTCGTTAGATACGTAAATTGAGAATTAGACAGCGAGCCAAGACTGGGAAAACAGGTGTTGGCAGAAACCGATAGGACCCAGGAAGTGCAGATGGATACGCCGACTGGGCTGAACGACGCGGCTCGAGCTGGGTACACGATACAGGGCATGCAGAGCGTGCAGATCTAGAGGACCTTCCCAGACGATCTCCTCGCAGTCGGTGCTGCTATCTGGCCAGTTGCTATCCACGCTCTTGCCATCCACGGTATTTCTCAAAACCATCCAAACGCCCACGCTCAGCGCTACACCACTCACATCCGATACTATTCAACGATACAGTCGTCGATACTATTCAACGTCAGTCAACGCTACTATTCAGTACCATTCAGTTATTTATTACACGCTGTCTACGCATCCACATCACACTCCCCAGGCCGTAAAACGCACCATTTTGGCTGCAAGGCAATCGCCTTCACTCCTCTGTCAACAAGCCTGTATCGCAGCTCATTCAACCTACTAAAAGCAGCCCTTCCACCCGTAACGTTATTCGCTGTATCATTCCCATCAATCTCTTGCACTTGTTCAAGGACTTCATACGTATAAGCTTACCGAGTCTTGAGGTGCCGTCAGGTAATGTTCCTCCAGTCCAAAAGACCTCTGCAGCCACCGCCAGTCGAGGCCAGACTATTGAATCCAAGTTTTCCGACGATGATTGTTCACTCCATAAAGGCATTTGTCCTATTTTTGATAATATATGAATCTTCATATGTATGTGCAGATAGCCACCATACATGCCTCCAAGTACTAACGGAAATTGGGCTTCCGTCAAATTCGCATATGGATCAAACGAATAGGCCTTATCCAACGTTAAACGAATAACACCAAGATAAAGAGGAGTTATTTACCCTTTGCCATGTTTTGAAAGGATCACACCAGCTGTTCCTGTGCGTTTGTCCAGTAAACATGACCCGACGCCTCGTCGACCGTGGACGTACCCAAGGATGTTGTTGCCTACCCAATCACCTGCTCCACAGTCCTATCGCGAATAGGCATCTTATCCGTTGACCCTGACGTCCTCCTTACTCACCAGGTAGAAATAATTGGAAGGTTGATGGATGAATCTCAAGCCTCTTTCCGCAATACCAGCCGCATCGGCTGATGATTGCCAAACGCTAAACAAACAAGTTGTGAAAGAAGGATGAGAGCGAATGATTGCGCTACGTACACAGCAACCGTGTCGTTTGTGACTGGTACATTATGAGTAAGAATCATGTCTGTCGACCATGTCCAACACAATGAGTGATTTCTGATGGCGTGGAGAAAGAGAGTAACGAAAGAGAGTAACGACATACCGCCCTTGATGAATGGAGTTATTTTGTTGGCCTTCAATACTCCTTGGATGGCAACCACAAATTCATTGAGAGCTTCGCCGATAGCGATGTTTCTCTTGTTCAGTACATCGATTGTCTCTTCGTCTTCCTCCCAACAAGGCAAGTTCACTTCATCGCCGCCCGTACTCATCATTGTGGACGTCATCATTGTAAGAACAGACTGGAAAACCCGCTTCACGAATTCGACTGTTGCATTGGAAGCGATGCGAAGCTGGCCTGCAGGTGGCTCATTCGCATACTTTGCCCAAGGCGACTTACCAGCGCATGCGACATGTTCAGGATGCGCAAAACCAACAGCAGTGGTATGCCCTGGAGTGTCAAGTTCCATCACAACATCGATACCCCGCTATTCGAATCGTCAGTTGCAACAGATGAAGGATAAAATGAAACATACAGTATTGGCATATTGGATAATGAGCTCTACGTCATTCACTGAATACATCTCTTCCTTCGAGTATGCACCTTTGGCGGCGAGCTCAGGAAAACCTGGAACTTCAAGTGGGAAGCTTTGGCTATCTGCAACATGCCAATATAGTACGCTCATCTATGCGACCAGGTCAAAAAGTATCTCATGTAGCATGGAACGGGAACAGCTAACCTTGACCCAAGACATTGCATCCAGAGTGCGCAAGATATCATCAACAGGATAGCTAGAATTCTTTCAGCTTTACTATTTAGAACATCTTGAGTACGTACAAATTTCGAGCCGTATCCAACGAGAAAGATCTATAAGGCTAGAGACGATAAGTCAACCTACGATACATCACTCACAAACCGGGCCACTCACAAACGCAGGTTCATCTGCAATCTCTATGGGCGCATTGAGGAGGTACTTGTCCCCATCAAGTGTATACCAGAGTTGCTCAAAAGTCGCTAATCCTCGGAACAAACCAAGGGTGGAGTTTGCCACTAAACGAGCTTGTCCGCGTGCAGGTATAGATAAAGTGTAAGATTCGCTTCTCGAAGCAATTGACACCGTAGCTTCATCAGCAACTGAACGGATCAGTCGTCCAGAGTCGAGAGAAAGCACTAGAGCATCCAGTGATAACGCTCGATGAACAGCGGTGGAATCCGCGGATCCACGTCCTACGACTAGTCGCTCGAAGCTGTCGGACTTGAGGCCGCTTTCGCTACGAGCCACTGCGTCTAAGAGATCTTGTGGAGTGGAATGCATATTTACCACAACATTGAAGGATTTTGAGAGCTTTAGCGGTGTAGAGCCAGTGCTCAATTGACGTGGAATCGGCCAGATTGACACTGTGAATGGAACTAGGACCAAGACATACAAGAAAATAATTGAATGCATCAGGCTCTCAAGCGTGTTTGTACAGCGCGAGATGAACGTTAGTGATGAAAGGTCCTGATTACCGAGTGACGGATTCAAAACTTCAACGAACGCGGAACTCACCACGTTGAACTAACTTCGACTTCTGATGGCGTGCAGTCATCTGAGGTATGGTCATACGGCTCAGAATCCATATCGCGATAGGTATCTCTGGAAATAGGTTCAACACACACGCAAGTCGTTGCTCAGCTGATCCTCAGGGTATCAGATAATGTCCGCCGTCAGTAATCCAGAGGGTCATTTGCATCTTCTTAGGGTACCACATTCAGTAGTAACTGAAAATGAATTGCGAAGGTTGAATTTAACATGATGCCGGTTCAGTCGAAAGTCAACGCCAGCATCCCAGAAAGTATGACGAATCCAATTGGTCATTTCTGACCAACAACACCTTCTGCGCCAGCTCTCAAGTTTGACAGGAACTCCAGTAATCGCTGACGAAGCCTTGTCACCATAGGGTCTTCGTCCGCAGATGGGGCAGGCTTATAACAAGCATGAGCATTCATCAGAAACCGCTGAGGAATTGATCGGCATTACGAGCTGGTCCAACAAGTACTATAAATTTGGTTCTCAGCAATAATGCGTAGTGCGCCGTAGAGGATACGCACCTCTGCCTCATCAATAGTCTGTGGATATTACGCGACGCTGAGCCATACTGGAAGACAGTGTCTCGAAAACGACGTACCAATACGATGGGTCCTCTGGAAACATCGATATTGTCAGCATTCCTAAAGTAGATTACCGACATTATTCACCTGTTCATGAGCAAAATTGAATAGTTGATCCAATCAGTGGATGTGGTTGCGAATAAAGGAGCTGTAAACGCTCCGTGACGTAGATAACTCGTGAATTTGATTGATCGATCGTTATGAGTACAGTCGCAGAATACGGTAACATATTATGCTGTTGTTTGTGGTGTCTAACTTATGACGCTTATTTTAACCGCCTTTCTGTGCATAAAAAGGATTAGCCACGTGAAAAGACGAGGTATGATTAGAACACACGTTAGGACTTAGTTCTTCCAAGGATCGAAGAGAATCTTGCCACATCCACCCTTGTCAAAGACCTCATAAATCGCAACCGCGTCGTTGAAGCTCGCGATCCTATCAATAAGGCTAGCAGGTTCGCCTACCCCACCAAACACATCCTGTCGCTTGAGCAGAAGAGCAGCTGCGATGGGAAGCATTGCTCGGACAGGACAACGTCCAAAGTCGAATGACACGTTCTTTTTGTAAACGTCCCGTCCAGTAAAAGGAACAGGGGGTGCCTGGTGAACGCCGACCGAACTAATGACTCCAAAAGGTCGTACAATCTCGTATGCCAATAATAGTGCACTGTTGTTACCCACAACCTAGAATAGCTGAGCGGTTGCTATCAGACTTGGTGTTGCTGAACATACCTCAAGCACTGCGTTGCAACCGACGTCATCAGTCCAGTCTTTCACGAGTTGTTTCCCTTCCTCTATATCGGCCACCACAGCTCGTGGTGGAGTGGCAATAGGAGTAAGGACCGCCAGTACTGACTTCACTTTCTCCCGCCTTGAAGCGACCGGATCGATTGCGACGACTCGATAATTGATGGCGGGTACGTCTCCTAGCATGTCCAACAAGCTCACTAGAGCGCACTAAAAACGGCTCAGGTCAGACTGCTCCGGCCAACATGATGTGACGCTCACGATTCCGACTGGACCAAGGCCGACAACAGCAAAGGTGAAATTACGATCGTCGAATGATAGGTTGGGCGTTGTCTCGAGCTGAACATAGCGAGGTACAAAGCCATGATGCGGGTATTGCTTGCCACATAGCAGCGACGTAATTTTGGGATGTTGCAAGGCTTGTAGGGCCGCAAAGACACCAGTGGGAAGAATATCGGCTAGAAGCAAGAGCGAACTGTCGGAAAGTCCGCTGTGAAGGACTGATGTGATATTCTCAACCTTGAAAAGCGTGCCGCCGGCCTTAGGGACCCGCACAAATTGAGCCTGACCACCAGGAAGATCAGGTGTGCCAAATAGGGCAGAGAAGACGCAGCGCGAAGAGAATCCGAGGCGGCAGAAGCTGAAGGCGAGAGTAAATTTCGCGGCAATCCTAAGCAGAAGGATACATACTGACACTCTCCACAGGATACTGTGAAGGGAGAAACAACTCTGTCTCCGATCTTCAAGGTTGAGTAAAGAAGCGGGCGTTCGGAAGCATTTGGATTGAAGCTACTTCCAAGTGCAACGACTTCGCCAATGAATTCATGACCACATGTCCTCCTATCAGAACTACGTTGAGTCGTACTCGCTGTGAAGGAGTTAGATACGCACACAACATCTACCTCCTCATGTCCACGGTAAGCATGCAAATCACTTCCACATAAACCTGCAAGCTACGGGAAGATCAGCTGGATGCCTTCCATGGACAAGAGAACAACCCTCACGGTGACTTTTATAACCGCATCATCAGGATCAACGATACTGAATTGATCTTAGATTAGTACGCTGAAAGAGTCCCGGCACTATTGAAGACTTGGAACGCAGCTGACACAGGCATGGACACAGTTTCGACCCGAATATCGTATGCAGGTGGATAAAAGCGGACCGCGCGTTGATCACCAGTAGCTACCTCGACCGTAGACATTGTGAATAAGAGGTCGTCTTGGTGAAGAGAAGTGAGAAAGGAGAGTCATGCCCTCGCGACCCAAGTCAGTCCCCATCGCCGTCATAGTCAGTCCATAGCAAGGAGGGTTTTTCCGTCCGGGCCGCCAGTGCCTCGTAGGAATGAATTCTGCGTCCTTTCACAGTTGTCCCAGAAGATGTACCAACATGTGTACTTCTGCGGACGCCTTTCCTTTCCAGAAAATGACATGTGGCCATTATGTTACGGTTAATTCACGGCACCTGCTCAAAGCTTTCGCTGGCAATTTGAATAATGTTGGGGTAATATAAAATGGACCTGACACGACATGGTCCGTAGACCACTAACGCGTTTTGCACAGATACAATGTGTTGTATAATACTGTTTTCAGCACTCATTTTTATCTTCGCGTCAGCATGTCAAGCTGTCGTAGGACCCGGCAAGGTCACAGGAGATACTGCTGTACATGATCCCAGTGAGTGGGCCGATTCTTCGATTATTGACTGTTACCGACTTACGTTCCAGCGATGTGTAAGGACAACACGGGGAAATACTGGGTGTTCTGTAAGCTTCGAGCCTGCCATTAGCAACAACAGTGGCCCCCTTCATGTTCGATGATATAGCTACCGGTGTTGGTATCGAGATCAGGTCCTCGACAGACCGTATTGCCTTCACTCGGGTCGGTGTCGTCTGGCCCAATGGCGCGCCATGGACTGATCAATATACGGGGACGTCAAATGGGTAAGGAAGTCTGTAGGTGAGATGTCACTTACTAACCTAACTACACCCACAGCGCATTGTGGGCTCCTGATTGTACATACATGAATGGCCAGTTTTATGTTTGTTCTCTTTTCTATACAGATTGTCGCATGCCTAACTTCCGCCACACTTACGATCTAGCTTTACTATGCTGCATCTAGTTTTGGTTCGCAGAACGTCAGTGTTAGAACTTGGGTTGCCCCTTGATCCGTCATAATTTTATGTTCACAGTCGGCGATTTTCTTCGCCAGATCGTCTACTGGTCTCCCAGGTAGTTGGACTAATGATGGTTTGGTGACATCAACATCTAGCAACAACAATTACAATGTACGTGCTCGTTTCAGGCAGCCTTCATGACCAGAATTGAATGTTTTCGTAGGCTATTGATCCCAAGTACGTCTTCAATTGTCAATATAAAGAGACTTGCTTTCATTCCACTTTCTCGTCAGCTTGATCATAGGTGAGGTAATGTATACTACCAAGACATACTAGCCTCACCGGATTCCACAGAGAACGGCCTCTGGTACTTGTCTTTGGGCTCGTTCTGGACGGGCATCAAGTTGTATGTTATTCCATTCTTACTCTGCTCTGATCTAATATTCGATCGTATACCTGCAGGATGAGGTACGATGAATATAAAGCATATTCCAAAAGATTCTAACATTCGACGCATGCCATGTAGTGCGAGCTCTTCAACTGGAAAACCTTCCAGCTCGTCCATCACATCTCTGGCCCAACGGAGTGCGAACAATGGAGCGATCGAAGCATCTGTTATATACAAGAATGGCAGTTTCTTTTATCTCTTCACCTCCTGGGATAACTGCTGCCAAGGAACGTCGAGTACATACAATATACGTGTCGGCCGCTCGTCTTCGTAGGTTCTCAACTGTTTTGAGCATTGGCCGGTCGATTGACTGGCTATCAGTGTGGCTGGACCGTACGTTGACCAGTCAGGCGTGGCATTGACGTCGGGCGGTGGGACGCTTGTGCTGGGAACTCATGACAACGTATGCTTTCCTTTCGACGTAACTGTTGTTCTGTGGTCTAACTCCCTCTGTCGAATAGATCGTTGGTCCCGGTGGTCAGGATCTTTTGGCAGACAACGATGGGCCCATCCTCGTGTATCGTACGTATCCTATATCGTCCTAAATGAAGAAAGTCTAACGCTCTGATCAGATTACTATACGTCTTCTGGCAGTTTCGTAAGCCTTTTGTCTATCATGACCAATGGCACCTTCTCATGTTTGGCATCACAGCTTGGTATCAACCGTCTGGATTTCTCCAGTGGCTGGCCTGTCGTTGTATAGATGAGGTCAGCATTTGTCAATCAAATGAGCTGTCTATAGCGCATCGTATTTATATGTACACCCAAATGTCTCTTCTGAATAAGTAATTGTCATTCGTCTAAATAGGGTAGTCCAGATTATGGTGGATATCATAAGAGTACGTGTTCCAAGAAATGATAGTAATGAGAGTATGTGCGCAACCGAGGGTATCGACAGCTTTTTTACATGATGATGCACTCCTTATCCTCCGCTTTGGTACTAGCAATACCCATCTCGGCGAACGTCTGAGGACCCTTCGAAGGACGTGGCGCAGGTGCAGGCTCTGCAAACCCACTTTGAGGTGGCTGTTGCTGTTGAGACTGGGGATACCTGGAGGGTCCCACTGCAGGCGAAGCAGGCCCAGTAGGTCGCGGAGAGGCGCTGGGACTCGACCCTGGATCGGCGAGGGAGTACCGTGGCGCATTATGGAATGGTCGTTGTGCAGCTTGAGGGTTACCATTGACAGGTGGGGAACCAGGACCTGGACTTGGTCTGGTCTTCAGACTTGTTGAATTAGCAGCAGTCGGGAAAGCTGGTGAGTACTGTGATTCATTGACGGGAGGCAGTCGCGAAGGTTGGCTAGGAGGCGGGTTGGGACCACCATAACCACCTGCCGCACCCACAACACCAACACCAACTGCCACAGGACCAACCAAAGAGTTCTTGCGAACGCTCTCCATGATCTTTCGCTTATCAGTGTTCGGCAAAGAGGATCCGGCACTCGCAACAGAACCACGAGCTTCAGAACGTTGTTTCGCTTGAGTACGCTTTCTGACGAGCGTAGTATCCGTGAGACTCTCATGCTCCTGTCTCGAAAGCGAAAGAGGTGCTGGCTGCGAAAGCGCTTTAAGACGATCATTAGCATCAGCATTACCATGGTCTGCAGCCTATACACGAACCCACATCAGTAAATCTCGAAAGGAATGAACGAGATCGAGCCTACCCTGGTATACCAGTCCCTTGCAGCAGCAAGGTCCTTCGGCCCGCCAACGCCAACTTCAGCATAGTAGCCCATCGCAAACTCCGCACTGGGCAACCCCTTCTTGGCCGCTTTCTCCGCAAAGGTGAAAGCAAGGGCTTCGTCCTTCTCGAATGCACCCTCGGCACCACATAGGAACCATTTGCTCAATGCCATGTCTGCTTCGACTTCGCCCTGCTGACTAGCAAGTGAGTAATATTGCACACTCAACAGAGCATCGAATGGGAACGGGGGTGTAGCATATTCGTAGGAGTGGCCGAGTTTGTATTGGGCCGGAGCGAAGTTGAGGAAAGCAGCACGTTCAAGGTGCTTTCGGGCTTCAGCTTGAGGTGTCGACCCAGACGGAACGAGTGGTTGGAAAAGGTGAGGTGGTAGAGAGATATGCGAGAACTCGGAGAGTAACAAGAGACCGTAGACGTAGGCGGGTTGAGGAACCTCTACAGTAGCGAGTGTAGCTGCACGTTGGAGCAAAGGTAGCGCTATCTCCGGAGACGAAGGAAGGCCAAGCTGACCCATAAGATGAGCCATGCCCATACGCTGCAAAGGAATCCAACGATGAGTTTGGTTTGTTAAACGTGAAAATCCAGCCACTCACATAGAGGCAGCTCTCCACACCATACTTGACGCCTCGCTCGAAGCAGTCTTTGGCGTGACCCATATCTCCAAAGTTCTCGTAATCTCTTCCGAGTTTAAACCACGCGGCATGATACCCGTTCTTTGCCGCAGCCTCAAAATCTCTGAAGGCCGTTCTAGGATTATGGGGAATGTGCTGAGGGTACGCGCCTGAAGCCTCACAGACTGCGCGTAAATAGATCGCCTCAGCGACGTAAGGCGGCATCGGACTCGGCATAGGCTGCGGTGAAGATACCTGGAGAACGATCGGAATGGCAACATCGACGAGACGTTGAAGTTGACCATCTCCAATGCGAACAGGGCCAACGGGAACATCAGTTGAATTGACATTAGGCGCATTGGCACTATTCGTCTGCGTCTGATGAGCACGATCGACGAGTGCGAGGACATCGCGCGCCCAGGTGACTTTGCGAGCTGGGTCGAAATTCGGCTGTTGAATAGAAGACAAAGCAGCAGTCAATGAGGCAATGGTAGGAAGAGGTGCTGTAAGAGACGGAGGCGCCAGGGGTGCACCGGAAGCTGATGGACTGCCTTGGTAGGGTGTTTGACCTGAGGGCGCACGAGAGTGATGCTTTGGCTGGAGAGGCGCAGTTCCGCGGGGAGGCGAGCTTGTAGGATCATGACGAGGTGATGCTGACTGTGGACCGTAGGGCGGGTATGCAGTCATTGGTGGTGGTGAGCTTTGCTGAGGACCGAGTGAAAGTGCACCGAAGGAAGAAGTCATTGTATCCTCTGGATGTGGTGGATATGGTGCTGAAGGGTATGGCTGCTGAGGGTATGGAGGATAAGGTTGCTGAGGTGCTGGACCTGCGTTCCAAGGGCTCCAGTCTGAACCCTGTGGCGGTGGCAAAGGACTGACACCTCGCGGAGGAGCATTATTAGGCGTCGGAAAAGCGAAGCCAGGCATGAGGTTCGGCTGAGGTGAAGCGTAATAATCTGATGGGGGACGAGGAGCGGGAGGCTGAGAGTAGGGCGCCGATAGTTGTTCGTCAAGTGAGCGGACCATCTGCAATAGGACAGTGTGAGAAGGTGAATTATATGCGGCGCGTATAAAGACAGAAGACGCACGTTTGCAGGTATATCAGGTTGTAGCTTCTGAGGCCTGGGAGCAACAAGGGGATCCTCGAAGTGCGGAGGAGAGGAATGCTCGGCTTCGGGCCTGAAGTCAGGTGGAAGAGGAGGGACAGGCGGCGCCAATTCCCTTATAGATGGATTGTGATAATCCTGGTAAGAATCAAAAGGACGAGGAGGGACGGGAGGGACAGCAGCCATGGTATAAAGTAGTGGTACTTAAACGTATATACGTGTCAAGTAAATCTGGCGAGTTTGGAACCGGGTGCAATATGGAACCGAGAAATAGGTTTAGGCAGTAGCCAGGGTCGTGGAGGAAGGCAAAGTTTGGAGGCGAGATGGGTATCAGCGCCGACTGTTAGCTGCTTTGAATGAAGTAGTTTATAGTTTTAATTGGTGGCTGCGGTTGATGAAGTCGAATTTGTAGAACTGCTCGTGCAAATGAAGGCAGTTCGTTATGATGGCCGACGGCGGTACTTGCGATGGCGAATTTGAGGAAAGAATAATGAAAGAGCAAGCTCGGGAAGAGGATTGGAAGAGGATGAAGTCTTTATACCCGCCAAGCTCTATCAAGCGATCGATAGATCTCCGCTTGCCAAGTTGCTCGTCTCTCGGCCATCCTTTCATCCTCCTCCCTTCCGTCTCAGATTACACTCACCTCGTCGTGATTGGATACACTATTCATAGCTTCATTCCCTGGCCGATCATTCCAAACCTGTGACCGCTGACGGACAACGTACAGCATCTAGCTGTCCGTGCATTGACTTATAGCTGTCCCGTCCCAGTCGGCAAACAGAACTACTACTACCTTGACTTCTGTGGATATTCCATGAATGTAGCACGCGCCTTGAGCCTCTTTCCTCTTTTCTACGTTCACAGCGCAGCTCGATCTCAGCGCGTTTGCACCCTATAGCTAGCCGCAATGGGATAGCCTTGATCCATGAACATATTCTCATCTGGAAGGCTTGCAGAGCTTTCGGTCACATTGGGATTCTGTGCGGGCACCTTCTCGGTGACTGCGGTTTCCAGTGTGAGTATTCAACGTTCGTACGTTCAACATTCAACTTGAAAGCTTCATCTTGAACGTTTTCCTTCTCAGAGCGCAAGGAACAATCTCTCAGAGTTAGAAGCTATGCCTCCAGATGTTAACTTCGGCCATCCCGGCCTCAGTATATGAGTGCCGACTAGATTGCTTGTTTGGCATGATTTCATGGGTTTGTGTTGTCCCGGGGACGTAACTTCTGGGTTTTCTTGGAATACCATTTAATGTGATGGTTCGCCTCTTTACCCCGCACTGGCCCCCGTGGCTGAGTAGTTTCTGTGAATGCGGCGAGCTCCTAGATTTCGCCACTTGCTTCACTCGTTGTAGGTGGATGGCAGCAGTCTGGATCGAAACCTCAGCCCCCTTTGACCTCTCACAGGAATGTATGTCTCCCAACCTCCCACACCATCATTGCCCAATTGATTGCTATACCAAGTGAAACACTCTGACCAGCACATTCATACCACCGCTCTTCTCCGTTTGAAATGGAACGTGCACCCTTTATCGCCACTACTCAGACTACTCCAACGCCCACTATATCGTCTGACCCTAGTGGATCCAAAGCTGATATCCCAGAGGAGATCAGCCCCGTCTTCCCTCCCAATCCTTTCACAATCGCTCTTCCACTCTATTGTCTCTTCAAACAGGAGAAACCTACACCCGTCATTGCTCGGCTCTCGTTGGCACTTGGTACACCCCACATAGGCGTCGTCTCCTTCCATCCTCAGATTAGGAAAGGTGCCAGAATCGAAGACATCAATTTGGACGTGTGGTTACCTGTACCCCCAGAGAACGTCTTCATGATACAACAGATCAATGGCAGATGGCGGAGGATAGGTGTGAACATTCCCTTGGCGCCGTTTCAGGGTCGGACATATGAGTTCTCAATGAGGTACGAGTGGCGGATCCTCGTTGGTGGGACTGAGGCTTTCAGTTTGACGAGGGACTAGGTCAACGACGCTTGTGAATTGTTTCTCGTGCTTCCTTTCGGAACCCTAGCGGTAATATCATGTTGTTAACTAGCTCAGTCTTGGCATTAACTCGCTCAATACATGCTCCTTCATTGTTGGACTTGGCATGAAAGTCCAGCAAAAGATAGCGACTCGATTAGATTGTAAGAATATAAGATGTACAATCCCGGCTCGTTACTCATTCATCCCTAATTTTTCTTCGCTGCATCAGTAACAACAGCAGTCGCAACAACACTGGCAACAATCTCGTCTGAAGGAGTGCGTCAACATAAGAGATCATGAACACGACCGTGATCACACGTACGGGCAACAGGAATACCAACAAGTACAGCATGAATCGCAGCAATTATTCGCATGACGCCTTAGATAATGATGCTGAGGAGCATAGGCGTACGACATGGCTGGCACAGGGGCAGGTTGCATGTATTGCGGTGCCATTGACATCTGAGGTGCTACCAAAGATTAAAAATAGGTTGAGCGAGCCGCGTCGTGATAACAAGGAGGCAAGAGTGGGCTTACTCGCTGGATAGTACCCGCTCGGCGTGCGATAAAGGAATCGCAGATCGTTGGACGATCGACGAACCTGGTAAACACTCGGAGGTTGCTGGACGCCGGGGTGATACATGACGAAAGTCCGGAAAATTTACCAGCAAGAGTTCTCCTCTAGGACGTCGCAAAGAGCTGGAAGGAGCGACGGGGAGTCGGCATAATCAACGAGCAAGATCTGGCGTATATGTGAGCCACACCTAGGACCATAGGCGGATATGGGGCCGAGAGCGAAACTAAACTGAGAGCAATAACGTGATATATGAAGTACGCAAGGACGAGTCGGGCCTATTTCCTCGGTGAGAACAGGAAGGAGAGAGCCTCTAGCTAGGAGTGGCGGCAGTGAAATGAGAGCACGTGTGGGCGCGATTGGAAATGCGTGGGTATTGCGAATGAAAGAAATGAAAGATTGCGAATGAGAGAAGGAAGCTGAGTAACGTAGGTAAAGCAGATAGTAGCGCAAGCGAGATAAGCATTGTTATTCCTGCGCGATGCCGTGCATCATTCATAGCGGAAATGTAGACCAGCAGTAGCATCGGTCAGCCTCATAAGAAATGAAGGCCGTAATTTCAACAAATACAACCTTTTTGAAAGAGGGCTAGTCATCTGATGTCCGACGTTCAAGCGCAAACGTCTTTGTCAACTACCAGAAAATCCACAATGGGAGTCAGTTCATAACTCTATCACATAAGAGAATTTCGTCATATACACACTGCTTTCATTAGGTCCCGAAGAAATGCGAGAATGACTCGCACAAAAGTTCACACTAGCTTTGCAGCCAGCCTGTTACTTACACAAGCTTGACCGCATGCGCAGAATAGCCCAGGACATCATAACGTATCTCTCATACAAGCCATTTTAAACGAGGATTTTTTTGAGAAGTAGGACCGAACATTTTCGAGAATTCAAACGAGCGATGCGGTTGTCCGACAAGACGAAAAGTAGAGTACAATAATTAGGCGCCCAATTTGCGGCCTGCGGAAGGTGTCTGAAAGAGGACCCCCCGCCGGCCATAGGCGCCAGGGTTACTCAGCACGGTTGTTTGTCATCGCGGGTCTCCCAAGGCAGTCAAAAGGCGAGCTCCAACGAGCGAGGCCAAATCCCCCCCTCCAACCCTCAAACTACCCTCAACAGTGAGTGTCGACGTCTCCGTACACCTTGTTACTCGAATCCTGGCCTTTTCCGCTCCGTGCTACGCTGTTTTCTTGATGGATGCGCTCTGGGGGTTCCGGATGACGCTGACTGCTGGTCTCTCCCAGATTAGAAGAAATGGGTCGCCGTCCCGCTCGTTGCTACCGCTACTGCAAGAACAAACCTTACCCCAAGTCCCGATACAACCGTGGTGTACCCGATCCGAAGGTTCGCTCACAATCGACGGTCACCCGGTGAAAGTTTGCAAAGGCTGATAGCTCGTGGATTTCTAGATCCGTATCTTCGATTTGGGCCGCAAGCGCGCCTCCGTTGACGAGTTCCCTTACTGCTGCCACCTCGTCTCCGATGAGTACGAACAACTTTCCAGTGAAGCTCTGGAAGCAGCTCGTATCTGTGCGAACAAATATGTCACCAAGACCTCCGGCAAGGACTCTTTCCACTTGAGGGTCCGTGTTCACCCTTTCCACGTCATCCGTATCAACAAGATGTTGTCTTGCGCGGGAGCTGATCGGTACGCTTTTTATGGTGTACTTGCCTTGAGGTTTCTAAGTGGCGATTAACTACAGTCTCCAAACTGGTATGCGCGGCGCCTGGGGCAAGCCTTATGGTACTGTTGCCCGTGTCAACATTGGCCAGATTATCCTCTCTATCCGTTGCAAGGACCAGAACGCTCCTGTTGTTCAGGAGGCTCTGCGTCGCGCTCGTTACAAGTTCCCTGGTCGCCAGAAGATCATCGTCTCTCGCAAGTGGGGCTTCACCAACGTCAACCGTGAGGACTACACCAAGCTCAAGGAGGAGAAGCGGGTGTTGCAGTACGCTTTGTTTCACTGCTTAATTCTGAATCGCCCTCTCACATGCATTTACAGGGATGGTGCCTATGTACAGTATATCCGCCCAAGGGGCAACCTCGAGAGCAACTTGCGTGCTCAGCTCCGCGCTTGATTGTACTTCGCCATGTATTTTCTTACAGCCAACTTAGGTTGGTTTCCACATGATATGACTGATGTCATAATATCTGCGTGATCTCGTTTCGTGCTTTCTCCGGTTCGCTTGCCCCTTATTCACTACGTCACACCGAACTCCGTGGGTGATGGTTAGGGGAAATGGGGCATATATCATTCTCTCATTGGTCTTGCGCTTTTCATTCCAATCCCTCCGATAGTTTTTCCACATTCGCTCGAGTGTGAGATATTGTTTCGGTAGGCAGATAGTGAGGACATCTTTAGTTTTGCTTCAAAATATATCACTGTTTGCGTCCTGCAGGTCTGGTGCGACTGCGTAACCATTGCTCATGTCGATGACATGCTGTACTGTCCCATTTCGCAGTCAAGGTTCCGTTCATGAGCTACATTGTTCGCTGTGGAATGTTAACGAAGTCTACGCCCTTTCCATGTATCCGGCGGTATCGTGAAAATAAAGTCATGGTTCGTTCCTCCGCACTGGATGTGCCCTCAGCTGCCATACCCACGACCTTTCATATGTCAGGCAAAATGTCGACGCACTTCGGGCCTGTGTAGGATCCGAGGGATGACGTCAAGGCGTGTCCCATGCAGCGAATGCAATTGGTTCCTTACTACGGTTCAAGCATCAGCGTCCTCGAGCCGCGACGTGTTCCAGGCATTTCAACCGATAGATCGTTGTAGGTACGCCGGAAATTTACATACTACTGGGGACTCGTGATGATATACACTGTCGCTCAGATGAATGGAAGGGATCGCCACTGCTGTTTTTGAGAAAATGCACACGCTTCCGCGTAAAAAGGTGTCACAAGTATGGGCTTGATGGGCGTTGCGTCCGTCGTTCAGTTTTCAAAGGTACCCCATGCACATAGCGCATGCAGCACCAAACGCTCCGGATCCGTTTAGAAGAGTTCTCGGCAACTGCACTCCCCGCCTTCTCCCAGGTATATAATACCCCGGTGCATACGCCAAACCCCTTAGCACCGAAACTTTCACCACAAACATCACCGGCGACGATAACATCGACCTAACCCTCCACAATGAGTTCTGAGGCCGAGTTTAGGCAGGCAGCGCCGACGTACGTTTATCTTTGCTCAAAGACAAGCCATTGAGCTGATTATTCTGCAACATTCTCATCAGCGCATTCGACCCTACGAAGCCTGGTACCGCGGTCCTCTTCGACGAGGGTCCCGTGGGGCGACCTCCAGTTGCCGGCCGAGGCGTCAGGTTCACTACGGCTGACTCTCCGCAGAAGTCTCGTGAAGCCTTGGGTGTCTGGTTCCGTTCAAACAAAGCCTGGAAGATCTACAATAACGACGCTAATCAAACAGCGAGGACGAAGATCAGGAATGACCTACAGACCGCAATCAAGGCCAATCTGCCCGTCGATAATCCCAGCGTGAAGGATGGACTGGTCTCAATTGCACCTGACGACACACCGTTCAGGGCCACGGAAGGCTTTGCTGTCGTTGTTACGCAATTCAAGAGTCCATGGGTCTTCTTCACCGCTCAAGGATCCTCTGAGATAGCGAAATTCAAGCAGGAAATCAACAAGATTTCTAACCGAACTACATTGAACAAGTAAAACAATTTCCCGTGTTGTATGTCATTCGACTAAATTCTCCCGAAATACAGTATTAGGTCGGGACTTGCTACGGCAGTTCAGCTCAAGCTCAGCGATCCGCAAGGGTTCATCAACCCAACGGTGACGGGAGACCCCATCCAATTCATTGATATCCATTACTCTACCGGCGCGGTTCCTGAGAATACGAAGGAGTTGTTACAGATAGTTGAGGACAGATTGAAGGTTGTACCGCGCTCTGGTATGTTCGCTTTTCATTGATATTATCAGACTCACTGATGTATGGGTGTAACAGCTCATGAGGAAGACGAGGGAAATTAGTACGCAGCGACAGGGTTGTGAGAATCGTACGAGGAGGACTAGGAGATTTGTATTTCAATAGCGGCTTTGTCTTTTTGAATCCAGTCAGATTTGTTGCGGAGACCGCTCCTGCCATAAAGTGATTGGTAGGTCCGAAACGAACCCAACCCCCCGACGGGCATACTGCTTCTTGAGAGAACTTCTTACACGGCACCCAATAAACCTTCCGTAGTTAGTACAGATGCGATGCAGAGTGGCGAACATCTTGGCAACATGTCTTTATTGTCTGTCCCCCAGACAGACTTTTGACGGTTGCTTATGTTTCTGGGCACTGATTGGTCAACTCACCCTGCAGAGTTTAAATCTGTCGTCGGACAGATGCATTGACATGTTGCCAAGATGTTGTCCTGTTTGCATGGACTCTGCCTAGAAAGCAGACACGTTCATGTTTGCCGTGTTACCAAAAAAACACTTGGGCGCTTCACAGTCGCACCGGCACAGCCTCAGCTTAGACAAGTTCAATGTTCCTCGCAAAAATTACTGTACTTACTCATCTCTGTCTAATAATGCTCCATATACATCACGGGACAGAAGAAAACGATCATAGAAAGCTTTAAGGCATCGCAATAGCTGTATTAGGCATTTTCCTATATATGATACGCAGAACGCTACCGTTCGCGCCTCCCAGTTCACCCGTGGCAGCATACGCCGTCAGTATTTGGAAGATTGCATCATAGGGCTGTTCGGTCGCTGTCGTACTGAGAGGACGTGATGGATCAACTTCAATTTTTCTTAGGATAATCAATCCTCAACGGTTGGGTCTCCTGCTGCTACTACTTACACAGTATGTGTTTCTCCTTCAAGCATCAGTACCTTCAAGGTAACACTTTCCCAAACAACTTAATATCGACATCGTTTCCTTAGTATCAGGCCTTCAGGACTCGTGACGACGCACTCTATTGCTTCAGATTAATGTGAGCTATTGGCGCAGTCCTTCATGTATGTATGTACTCGCCGTTTTATACGTATTCGAAACCTGCGTTGTTATCTACTCATGGATCGATAGACCGCTATAGCATCGCCGTTAAGGACCTCAAAGCTTCAAGCTTCAAGTTTGGAAATTTTCGAGAAAATGACCAACATCTATTCGTCTCGCAACTTGGTTGCATCCTGCCTTAATCACTTTCAGTCGCTCTAGACGATTAGTTGAGAGCGTTGCTTTCCTTACACGTTATACTAATGTCAAGTGGGGTCCGCTGACTAGATAACATAGAAGCAGCTTCTTTATGACACTCCACCGGAGTTGTCACCCTCCGGTGGATAGCATCCACAATGTGCGCTATTACGACTCTTTTTTAGGTATAAATCTGCAGTGACTGACCAAGCTATCAATGTCAAGGTATGAATGTGGCGTCCGATGGACTTTCTGTAACATACCGTGATGCACGGTATTTTCTCTCTTCCTCGGTTCAGCTGACTTGCTTTCTAGTTCACCTGCCAAGGCTGATGGTTTAAATGCATGCGCGTTCACCAGGACTCACGTAGCTAGACCTCCCAGCACCAAACACTCGATGTCATCTTCTAACGTATCCCAATCGGATGAAATATTCCTCGCTGCTCAGGCAAACAAAGACCCGAACTTTGACCCTTTCACAAACCAGGCCAGATTCTACGAGTGCAACCCTACGGCACCACCGCCGAAGGACGACAATCCCGGCATTATCTTATTCAATCCGACTAATGCATTGAGTACTTCGAGCGAAGCACTTGGTGTTTGGCTCCTCAATGGACATGCTTGGAAGATATACAGAACGGGGGCAAAGAATGTTGAAAAGAAAAGGAAAGCTATTCAGGACGATATCGATGCAGCGAAGACTGCGGGGTTGCCTGTTGGGAATCCTCAGGTCAAAGTTGGGCTCATCTGGACTGATGAGAGGAGCGTGAAGAGATGGGAAGCGGGACTATCCGTCCTTACTGAGGAGTATACGAAGGATAAATGGACCTTCTGGTCTGCTCAGAAGTCGGCTGGCGTGGCAAACTTCAAGAAGCTCATCGAGAGCATCAAGGACAAGCCCACTGTACAGACGTAAGATCAATATGTTATGCAACCAACTCGTTGCTGACTCAATCTTTCTTCATTATGTAGGATCAAGAATGCATTCGACATTGCACACGACTTCAAGCTGACTGACCCTCAGGGTTTTATCAACGCCAGCGACCATTCCTCGCCCATTGCATTCATTGACATCCACAAGGGAACCAACGCCACCAAAGTCGACGAACTACTGGAGATCGTGAAGAAGCATTTGGCCGAGCTTAAATGAACGGTGAGCATAAGTCCGTCGCCTATCATGCCTCGTACTTAACCATTGCATCTAGTAGCAAATGCAGATATTGTTTGTGAGATCTGTGGAGAATCAATGGAGAGGGACAGGCTCTGACTTTCATAGCAAATCCCTGTACAGACAAAGTTACCGACTCATCGTTATTTGCTACACTGCTTTAGAGCCCATGCCACAAATAAAGGACTTCCTGAAAAGTTCCATGAACTATGCGAAATTCCATATATCACATAATAGCATAACCTATGCACACGAAGAGTGTTGCAAGGTGTCTAGGATTACAAGACACATCCGCTCAACAACGTCTGCATACCTTCTGCCAGCTTGCCCGTATCCAATGCAAGAGGCTGTTCTCCAAGAACATCCGTTCCTGACGTCTCACTGGTTGAGAAACCGTTGTCGCCGTTGCCCGCTACGGCCACTACGCTATCTCCTAGCAATGGTGCCATAGACGACCAGAACTCGTCAAAATTCAAATCTGGTAAAGGCGTTTCCAGCAGCGACGTTGACGAGGTCGAAGAAGGGTCGCCAAGGAAATGGTCATTCGGGTCCTCTGCTGGCGTCGCGGTACGTGAGAGGAATGCAGAAGAGAAGGCTTCATATTCTTCCATGGATATGCTGCCCTCCGAGAATGAATCCGAGAATGCTTCAGAATCGGACAAGAATGCAAATGGATCTTGTTCCTGAGAACTTGTTTCTGTATCCTGCTTGGCGGTTGTGTCCAGTGCATTCCATCGAGCAGTCACATCTGCTTCCGCCACAGCGTCATCGTCGTCACTCTGCGGTGAGAATACTGGACTCGAAGGAGGCAGAATATCATCTTCCACGCGACGGTTCAAGGCTTCCTCCATGGCGGTGAGGTTGTCGTCGCTCAGCGGAGAACAAATAGGACTAGAAGGTGGCAAAGGAGACGAGGGAGGTAACCAACGTTCCTTTTCATCTTCAACTCCACTATCGTATTGAGGTAACTCTGGAGGGTCCGTATCATCGCCCTCGAAGTCACTACTAGCAACGGGCAACGCCACACCAAAAGTATCTGTATCAGAAACTTCGTCTTCGGGATCATTCCCCGCCGAAGTTCTTGATCGTCGAGGTCGACGGTGAGAGCTTATGGTGCTTTGTAAGGGGCTGAACAACGGTGCCTTCAGCTTGCCTACGCTATGTAACTGTTTCTTGGGTGGCGAGAATAGTGGCGACCCGAATAGACCTTCTGGCGAGTGACCGTCGCCATGACTGGAGGTGCGACGTCTTTTCGGCCAGCTACCCCCCTTGTTTCGGGGTGTACGAGGTGAGCGTGGGGAAAGGGATAACGGCGTCGTCGCCAGTTCTGGGGTCTTTGGAGAACTAATATGAAAGATATCCACATCTGATGCAAAGGCCACCATAGGTTGAGATGAAGAGGGTGTCAAAGCCTTTGGCACTTTCGTCCCTAAAGTCTGAGTATTTGTTATAGTGCCAGACTGCGAAGATGACGCCTCTGCCGCCTGACTCGACGCTTCCCTTAGTGCAATTGCAGTGGCATGACCATGACCAATTCGTTTTCTCTTCTTTGTCTTTACTTTTGCCTTCTCGCCCTCGTCCTCAGACTTGGCTTTGAAGCCCTCAGCGAACCTAGGTTGAGTCGCCGTTTCCGTTCGTGCCCAAGCTGGCAAGACGAATGGTTTACGTGGAGGTGTCGAACCGGGCGGAAGTTGAGGCCACAGTCGTGTCTCTTGCTGGACGCTTTCGTCCTGTGCATTGGGTGGAGAACTACCCGAGGTACGTCGGCGTGATCTAGGTGGCGAGCTTTTTGCGACAGCCAAAGTCTTCTCCTCTTTTCCCTTGCCCTTATCCGTCCTACGCACACTCGACTGGGAGTGAGACATGGACGTAGATTCACAAAATACACCAGAATCCGATTGCGGATGACCGGACGAGTACAGTCTTGACCGACTGGCCTTCTTGGCCAAGGACTTGGATAATGATGGCGTGCAGGACGTCGAAGCAGGTCCTTTCTTCCGGCTCTCTTCGCGCTCTCGTTCACGTTCCGCCATAAAGTCACTGAGAGTACGCTTTCTCCTCACAGGGTTTGTGCTCTCTCCGACTATTGCATCAGAAGTCGTAGATATCCGAGATGATGTTGGTGCAACGGAAGAAGCAGTGGCAGAACGAGATAATGCTTGATAGGTAGGTCTGGGCGGACTCGAAGCAGCGAACGCTGGCCGTCTTTTGGTACTTGCACCAGAAGCAGAAGCGCTAGTAACATTCTGGACCTCCGTCTCTTTGCCTTTCCTTTTGGTGTCCTTGTCTTTCGATCGTCGTTTGAACGCACTGGGATCAACATTCTCCTTATCCAAAAGAATAACCTCGTCATCAGAGTCTGCATTCGTACTATGAGAAATGTGATGCGAGTGGGATGCCGAAGTTGTACGGGTCGAATGTGGCTGCGAGTACGTCCTCTTCGAGGGAACAATAGTAGTTACACGCGATGAACTAGCAACAGCAGAGGTAGATGCTGGAAGCACGTTTGAAGTCGAGGTTTGGAGACCAGGGAGTAACAATTGCGTCAAAGCCTCTATTAGGGCACCATTTGTCACACCAGTCGAACCACCTGAGGTAGGAAGTGGGGTCGGGACTGCTGAAGAAGCAGAACCAGACAAAGTAGACGAGAGCGACGCGTCAATCGTATTCAATGCAGCGATCAACTCTGGTGTTTTCTCTACACTCGAAAGGGCCGTTAAAAGTGTCTGAAGCGCATCTGTCGGCGGAAGAGGGCAATGTCCTGTCGACTGCGACGAGTGAGCTGCTGGGGTAAAGGAAGGTCGTGATTGCAGAGAAAGTAATGAAGCTGGGTTGACAGTGCCAGGAGGTGCAGGTGTAGAGAAAGAGGAGGCACGTGTTGGGGGTTGGGTGGCAAGCTGCGCGTATGTTTGCGCGTTTGTTGAGACAGTGGGCAAACTAGGGGTGGCAAAAGATCTTGGAATAGGTTGAGTCTAATCCATACTAACCTTAGCACATGACATGTTTTGAGAACGGAGATCGTACCTCGCGAAGCGCAAAAATAACTTCTAATGCCTCTGGCGCTCCACCGGAGTTCAAGACTAGCATCCCGTTGACTTCTTGAGTCCTTGGGTCCTGTAACGCCCAACCCAAGAGACCGAACCCAATCGCCAAGCCTTGGGGTGATGATGATGTAGAGGGTAATGACGAAGAGGGTGCAGAGGACTCGAGAGGGTCGAGTACGTATACGGAGAAATCGCGATGTGCGGTTGGGACAAGCTCTGGGCTGCATACAGAACGAATATTGATCGGAGGTGAGAGGGGGAAGAAAGTGGAACGAAGACGTACCTAGATTGACATATTGCATCCAAACAATTCCTTAGGCTCGTCTTCCCAAACACCACTTGTACGCCTCCATGGCCAGTCGTGCCATTGGTTGTGGGAGTGAACAGAAGGGAAACATGTACTGGTTGATGGGATCGCGCGAGGATGTATTGAGGTGCGCTGTTGACTGTGTATAGAATTCGTACTGGCGCGAGGGTTACTACGAGTTGGACTGAGTAGGATAATGAGATGGAAATACTTACGAGGTAGTAAACAGGTATCCATTCTCTTCTCGTCTAGCCCTATATTGCAACAAGTAATACCTACGGGGTGTACCAGGCAACGTGCTTATTATGAAGTTGTTGGGTATCGCGTCGAATGAGGCCTTCTCCGGTGTTCACGGTTAAGAACAGACAAGTAACGGTGAGAGTTTAAAAGACATTCGCCAGCGGCCTTGAGAGTCCTAGACGCAAGATGCCAAAGAACTGAAAAAGGTTATTGCAAAGGAGGGACAAGTCGTCGACGATGGACCAACTTTCGCAGACAGGCTCAACGGGGCAACAATGTCACGCTCACGTCGCTAATGGCGGCTGTCACAGGCACGTGTGTGACCCGGCGCGTCTGTGTTGTCACTATGCGTGAGGCAAGCAGACTGAGGCTATCGATAAGACGGTAGCACAAAAGAATATATAGAGGTTTCTAGCTACGACTCTGATATTCGCTATAGAGTGGAGTCCAGTTCGAGCAAAGAGAATAATGATTGCGCAGAAAAGGGACTGCAGGGGCGTGTCGCCGCCACTGCAGCATGATGCAAAGTGAGTGAGGAGTAATTCTACATCCCGCCGCGAGACAAAGACATGATCTGATATCTGTCTGGCACAGACCGCGTCAACTTGGATTGTTCTGAGCTTTGAGTTCGTACGTACGCCGTAGCGCGAGAGGCGTTAATTTCGAATAAATCCGAGGAGAAGCTCCGGCATGAAGCCGATGAGGATGACCAAGTGAGCCACCGCATCACGACGGGATGACATGGTGATGCTTTGCTTTGAAGTGATGAGGCCTATGGCTCGACTAGCACCATTGAGTACCAAAGTGATAGCCAACGTGTACCATGTGCTTGATCATAGATACCGGAAGAGCAATCCTCGCACGAGAAACACTCGACACTAGAAGGTAGTACATTGCTTGCAATAAACCCATCTGGAGGTGTGTACACAGACGCTGTTCAAAGAACGGACGTATACCGACGTACGATTGCCGATTGTAGTGCGAAACTGGTCAAACAAAATTTGATTCACGGTAGAAGCAGCGACATACTCACCTGACAGGCTTACTAGGGCATTGTAAAGCCAAAGGAAGCCTTTGAAATTTGAATGTTTGATGAGGACGCTACGTGATGAGATGGAAGAATGGGTTAACGGCATCATGTACGACGATCCAATAAACGCGGAGGTGAAGCACATGTGCATTGACAGATGGCAGCAGAGTTTGGAAAATTGACGAGGAGGCGGTGTGAGGCGGACAAGCATTTGGGAATGGAGAGAAAGGAACAGTGCGGAGAAGCGTGATGGTAGGGTATTGACGTGATAGCGTCACGGAAAGAGATCTGAGTGCAAAGCTGAAGAAAAAGACACGTGGCAAGAAGGAAAGAGCAGAAGAGGAATAGCGTAGTAGGCCGTATTTGGCGGTACAGCGCGAATCGAAACGAGCGAAAATCGCGGAGAACAGCATGACATGGACCAATATGACCATTAAGGGAAGTCGTCCTGAATAGGAAGTCGTAATACCTATAGTAGAAGGTTGATTCCGCTCTCCACCAGTGCCGACTCCGAGTCCCCTGCACTGCACTGCAGCTGCACCACCCGCCCTCTCCTCCACGTTGTCCTCCACGTTGGTCCCCCTCCCTGCTCGCTGTCGTCCACGTCGGCCTCCCCTTCCTCCTCCTGCTTTCCCTGCTCACCGTCCGTTTTCTGTTCATTCAACGTTCGGGCACACAGCCGTTATCGCCTCCAGGTACACACACGCTGGCAAGCCGAGAGCTTCATTTACCAAATCCCGTTCCTCTCGTAAGTCTATGTGCTGCTACCCCGGCCCTCCCTCACCGTCCACCCCGTCCACCTTGCTTATCCTGGATAGTTGCTCGAATACATTCTGTCAACTGCGCTCCTTTATTCTCCTTCCGTATCCTTTCGCGTGATTAGCATTATTCGTGTTTCCCATCCGATCATTTTCTGCCATACCCAGCTTGTAGTGGCCCAGATCTGTCCTCGGTAGTGTGTGAGTAATCCTCTTACAGCATTATTGCTGCTTTCCTGACTCTAGTGACTCCGCTTGTCAGCTCTTTCCGCGCTGTTATATCCTCGTCTTCGCGCGAGGTGGGGTGTGCATATAGCTTAGTGACCATCATTTACCCCTAGTTTATTCAGTATGCTATTCCTGCTTAGCTCCATCATCACTTTTTCTCATTGTCCCTACTACTCGCAGGAACCATGCCCTTCTCCTATATCCAGGACACTCCTGATGCCCTAGATGATACTGCCAGTAACGCTTCGTTTAGCAGCAGCGCTCGCGATGGCACAAACACTCGGGACATCTTCAGCACCAGTGTGCATTTCCAAATGCCTCAGCTCATGCTTGGGCCTACCCTCGCCTTAGGTGGTGGCGCAGAAGTTCTTCCAACCGGCTTGCTCCCAACTACAGACGCCTTCACTGCTTCATGGTCTGCCACTTCCGCCGTGGCTTCTCTGTAAGTTCTGCCATCGTATGCACCATGTCCAGATATCCTCCTGACATCGGCTAGTGCTTCTACTAGCTTCCCTCCTCAGATCTCGCCCCCAGCTTATCCGCTAGCTTCTACATACGAGACCTCGTGCAAGTCCGCCTCTGATTATGGCTTCCTTCCCGCCATCGCTCCTACTCAGGCGCTCCTCACACCCTCGCCGCGCGGTCTCCCTGTCTATTCTACCTCTGGCTTCGATCTCCTAAGTATCCTCGCTCGCGTGGCTTCTCGGCCGAACCCCAAAATCGTCCTTGGACCAGTAGACATGTCTTGCGCTTTTATTGTCACCGACGTTCGTCGTTTCGATAACCCCGTCGTCTACGCGAGTCCGACGTTCTACCGTCTCACTGGGTACACCGAGGACGAAGTCCTCGGTCGCAACTGTCGATTTCTTCAAAACCCAGATGGGCAAGTCAACAAGGGTGATGATAGAACTGACACAAGCCCCGAAGCCGTCAGCCTTCTTTGGAACTCTGTCAACGCCAACAAGGAATGTCAAACCAGTCTCATCAACTACCGAAAGGGCGGCGCAGCGTTTGTCAACCTTGTGACCATTATTCCCGTCCCAGGTGGCGTGAACAACACGCCAGAAGAAGCTGACGACTACATCTACCATGTCGGGTTTCAAGTCGACTTGACGGAACAGCCGAATGCGATCTTGAACCGATTGAGAGATGGGACCTATATTCTAGACTATAGTAATCAGGGGCATCCGGGTGCAGGTTTGGCGACAAGGGACTGGAGGACGAATAGTGCTTTGATGAGTGGGGCGAGCAAGGAGCTGAGAGCCATGTTAACGGATCCGGCCTTTACGACTTCTATTCCTCTTGCCCTTGGAACAACGTCGCTGTCACCGGCTACTCTGGCTAATTCTACCTCGGAGCGAACTCCATCAGATCCATACGACGGCAACAAACTTCTTCACCTTTTGCTACTCCAAATGGTTCCCGGAGATTTCGTACACGTCGTATCGCTCAAAGGTGCCTTCTTGTATGTGGCGCCAAGCGTGAAGAACGTTCTGGGGTACGAACCGGAAGAATTAGTTGGGAAGTATGTTAGCGAGTTCTGTCATCCTGCGGATGTCGTTCCCCTCATGCGTGAACTCAAGGAATCCTCTACGGCAGCTAATGCAGCAGCCACAGCTGCAACACTCGCCTCTACGTCCATCATAGGCTCGAACTCGACTTCCAGCGATCTTCCTACTTCGTCTTCAACAGGGTCACACAGTTCTAACCAAAATGCAAGTGGCATGGCGAAAGTGGTCGATTTGCTCTTCCGTATGAAAGCCAAGTCCGCGAATGGGTCCGGATATGTCTGGCTCGAATCAAGGGGCAGACTACACATCGAACCAGGGAAAGGTCGGAAAGCTATCATCCTCAGCGGGCGGTTGCGTAGGATGCCCATGCTCGATTGGGGTCTGGTTACAAGGAACATATCTCCATCGCTGCCATCTCCCGCCACTGCCGATCCTGTTGTATCATCGACTTCTACTACCAGAGAGGGGGAGGTGGGTACGGCGGAGAACACTGACTTTTGGGGCTTGTTGAGCCGACATGGAACCTTTCTCTTCGTTGGGAGTGCGATCCGGTATGTTCTTGGATGGGGCGCTGGGGAAGTCATCGGAAGGCCTATCGTCGATTTGGTTCCTTCATCTCCTTCCACTCAGACATCTCAGCCCCAGTCGATCACCGAATCGCAGTTGCAGAAACAAGCACTCGAACAAACGCTCCTGAGCGTTCAAAACGATTTACGGTATGAAACTCAAGTGGTGGATTGCGAAATGGGAAAGAAGGACGGTGGACAGGTATCTGTCCGAGTGCTTTTCTTTCGACCTTCGGCGATTCAAGACTCTTCTTCGAGTTCAAATGCACTGTCGGGCTCCTGGGCAGAGCTGAATAATTCCTGTGGTCCTATCGTCTGTCACGTTCGCGTCGCTTCACCTTTATCTTCGCAACAACCGCAGATGGGCTCTCGCTCAAGAAAAAGCACAGAAGATGTGTTTGCGGAAATCGAACCTACAAAAGACACGTCTTGGCAGTACGAACTCCAACAGCTCAAGTACGCTAATCAACGGCTTGTCGAGGAAGTCAGGGAATTCGAAGAGGAATTGGGGATCGAGCCAAGGTATGGAGACTTGTCTCCATCTGCTTCCGGCTCGAGTATGAATGGAAGCGATGATGGGGGTAATCGGAGTGTCAGTAGTGGGCACGCTGGAAGGGAAGAAAGTAGGCGAGAAAGTGCAGGTAAAGGAGAGCCGGTGGCGTTGTTACACCGGTACGATATAGACTTCCCACCTTCTTCCTCGACTGGAATCAGCAGCGACTTTCCCTTCGATAATCCTCTTTCAGGATGGTCACGCCAAAGTCAAAGTCAGCAACAAATGCAAATACACGCTCAACGTCAATCTCACATGCCAGTGTCGATGTCGATGCCTCTGTCAAACACGCAGTCTCAGCCACACATGCAACAAATGCCTTATCACATGTCGCAATCACACCCTCGACCCCTTTCGAGACCACCGAGTAGTCATCAGCATCAACATGCCCGAACCTATACTCAACTCCCGAGGCTTTCTTCTCGTCATGTTTCTCAGCCTCAATCACATTACCCTCATTCGCAGTATCAGCATGGCGGGTATTCACATCAGCAGCATTATTCGCCGCCGCATCCGCAGTCTCAGGTTGAGGAGCAAGACAGAAGACGAGTGCAGACGCATTCGTATTCGAGCTTACCTTTGAAGCGGCCTTGGGACTCTACCAGTGACGGTGGTTGAAGATATCGGGCTCTACTCGTCTCGTCGTTATTCTTGGTTCCGTTGTTGCAAGACTCGACTTTGAAAGGTTCAGACTCAAGACGCTCGATATCGGGCTTGCCATTCCCGCCCACTCGCTTTCGCATACCCTCACCAACGCCTTGGTCCTCACCATGACGTCCATCTTTCGCAGTACACATCGACACCCGCCATTGCCCCCAGCATCCATTGCAACCGTTAATCACAGTCACGTAGACTGCACATATCCCGTATCGTTAGCCATTCTTGTAAATATCTTTGTATCGTGTTATCATAGTACTATAGTTTATACTATGTATTTGTAGCCCACCCCTTCCCTTTCTCTTGTTGCATTCTTGGACTCGGATGACTAGCACTTCTTTATTGATTGGCCCTCACAGAAACGGTGATAATGGTGTTTAGCATACGTACATAGCATACATGTCTTCTCCCTTCGAGTGTAATAGGATGCTTATTGATTGTACATAGCTGCTGGGATCCCGTTGAGAACCCGCGCGAAAAGCGGCTTGAGCCTTGAGAAGAGAGACATCTAGAGTTTGAGGTAGGGGTATCGCCCGCCTGAAACTGCGCAGGATAGTCACAACCGTGAGAGAACACTAGGAATGTGAGTTTGGATAGATCGGACATAATGTTATGTTCATGAGGTTCCTGGTGGCGGCAAGCGAGAGTTCAGAACTAAGAGCATCAAGGCTGACGATCGAGTCCCTATGGAGCACTGGGGTTGAGTGATCATCAACCAGCGAGCGTACACGTGTCGAGTCAAGAGTAGACGAAAGCAAGCAATGGCAGGTCTTGTAGATGGCAGACAACATGTGAGATGATCAACGAACCGCAAAGAGAGGGAAATTGGAGTCATTCAATGGAAAGTACGGCGGACACCAACGAAGGTCCCGCGGGTTGAAAGAGGATGGAAACGGGCTGCAGTACAGGGACGTCATTACAGTAGGACGACGAATATACAAACAGGAGAGGCGTCGATGCATTGGTTTGCCTGAGCAGAGATGGCCGAGCGGATCCTGGTAAGGTGTAGAGAAATGACAGCGTAATTTACGCCTAATTCCTGCTAGTGACTGATGTGAATTGCATACTTGAACGATCGGCGACTATAAGCGTAGAGGTCACCGCGAAGCAAAGATGTCATTATTGAAAAAAAGGGAAGCAAAAAAAAAAGAAGTTACGTATGGTCGCAATGGTTTTGCGTATGTCCGGATTGCGCATCATTAGCGTGTCGGTTGACATTGTCGCCATGCATATCCAAACGACAGCGTATAGTCGGACAATCATCCCTCTTGGAGAATATACTCGGAAACGTCTGTCGATATTCTGGGATGTACTGTCCGTCGACCATTCGTAAGTGCCAGAGAACTTGACTCTCGGAGGTCCGTAGGCTGTAACAAGCATTTCAAGGAACGGTGACGGGTCATGGGTTATGATAAAGTTGAGGAAAACACTGTTGTACTCGCCTGAATATTATAACACGATTCGTGAGTTAATGAGTTAGTGACCTGAGCCGCATGAATGATCGACTCACAGTGGCATGTGTTTCGATTGGATTTGAGGTGGAGGAGGGTCGAGGTCTGTGAAGACTATAGAGACACGTTGGTCAAATGTGGCCCTGAGGCTTAAAGGCCTAAAGGCTTGAAAATCGTTGGAGGTTAAACTCTAATGTTGCGTCGTTGAAACGTGGGCGAAGTGAAGACGAAGCAAGAGTAGGTTAGGCGGACGAAGGGCAAGTGCTTAATGTCGTGTGATGAACACGCTGTGACCAAACGGACGTTGGAGGGATGGAGAGAAGCTGAAGACAGTTCATACAAGTGACCAATGGGAGGGTTAGACGGTGATGACTGCACGGTGAGAAGCAACGCATGAAAATAGCAAACGGATTGAGGAGCAGGGCAGGCTACAAGTGAAGCATGCAAGTCTGTATTTAGTGCAACTCTAACCACAGCATAGGCTGACAGCAAAGGCACATGTGAAATCGGCAGCGGATCTAGAGCTCGTGCGGGGAAGAGGTAAGCGCGGGGAATGGGGACTCTGGAGGAGGCGCGCTTGGACTGGAGGAGCACCCGCAAAGCAGGCGGAATCGTCTCGGGATCTCTCTGTCCGTTAGCCCAAGCTGCCACTACTTATGTCCTCCTAGTCACTTTCTCTTTCTCACCACCATCTCCAATGGCTTTTCGCATATCCTCGTCCCTATGGGAGAGGGTTCACCACTTTGCCTCCTTTCCACAGACTGGCGGTGCGTTTCCCGCTTTGATTCTAGTGGTAACTGACTCATTCGTTCAATTCAGTCTCTCTCCAGCAGATGGTCTTGTTCGGTCAGAATCCTAGCCAGGGCACTCTGCTCAAAGCCAGCCAGTTTCTCCTAGGTATGCCCATCTGCTCTCCCAATCTTGCTCTTCTCACTCTTCTCAATCCCAGAGGAATTGCCAATACGGCTCGCTCACAGAATCAAGGAGCTCGACCAGCTTCCCCACAATCTCAGCGACATGCCGTCAATACAAAAGGTCAAGAACTGGTATGGTCAGTCCTTCGAGGTCCGTCATTTCTTTCACTTCCTTTATCTCCCTTCCTCACTTTTCTTTCAGGAGCTCATTGCATTTCCACCAATACGCCTCCCGCCTCACATCCGACAAGCTCTCATGACTCCTCCACCCGATTACCACCAACTACCCGAATCCATCCCCAATCCCTCCTTGGTCTACACTGGCGACGACTACCCCGCCCTCGACCTTACCGGCTCCCTATCCAAATATACAAACGGTTTCAATAACAACAACAACAGCAACAGCAACAACAACGGAAACGCCAATACTCACCATAAAATGCGTATACCCATGGAACGAAGGTTCGTCTTCCTTGGCATCGCCAATCCGGTGCACTGCTCAAATTTCGCTTTCCTAGATACTATGCCAACACTTCTGGCATCACTTGGCCTCCCGAAATTCGCGACTATAACCGCCGCTTCACAAAATCCCTTGAAACCATAAAGAAACGACACGACCCGACCGTCACCACCGTCGCCCAGGGTGTGTTGGAATGGAAACGAAGTTGCAAAGCGAGAAACATCAATCTCGACGTGCAACATTGGCTGGATCGCTTTTACATGTCGCGTATCGGCATTCGTTTCTTGATCGGTCAACGTGAGTCTATTCCGGCATTTTCTGCCAACTTAAACCATTGAACAGGATTAGATATTGCCCTGAACACCCTTCAGCCGCATCCGGACTATGTTGGCATCATCTGCACTCGATCGGTGAGTTGCCTGTCATCTATAGCTTCCCTTTTCTAACGTCTCGCAGAATGTACATGAGATCGTTCACGAGGCAATTGAGAACTCGCGTTTCGTCTGTGAAGAACACTATGCCATGTTCAAGGGTCCGCCAGTACAACTCATCTGCCCCAGAGACCTCGCATTCCCCTATGTCCCGGGCCACCTCTCGCACATTGTCTTTGAACTCCTCAAAAACTCCCTCCGAGCGGTCGTCGAACGCTTCGGCCCCGACAAGGAGGATATGTTCCCACCTATCAAGGTCATAGTTGTAGAAGGAAAAGAGGACATTACGATCAAAATTAGCGACGAGGGAGGAGGTATCCCGAGAAGTGCTATTCCGTTAATATGGACGTACATGTATACCACCATGGAGGGCCAGAGTTTGGAGCAGGATTTCCAGGCGAGCGATTTCAAGGCGCCCATGGCTGGCTTCGGATACGGCTTGCCCTTGTCGAGATTGGTGAGCAGCTTTTTTCTTGCGTCAAACTTATGATGATGGAGACTCATGCTTGCCTTCGTATAGTATGCGCGGTACTTTGGTGGTGACCTTCGACTGATATCTATGGACGGGTTCGGGACGGACGTCTACATTCATTTGAACAAGCTCTCGAGTTCAAGGGAACCTCTACCGTAGTCGCGCCCCGAGGTTCCCGTAGTCGCGCCCTTCATCGCCTTCCCATCTCATTTCAAAACCACTTCGTCCCGTGCACACGTTAATTCTCCCGCATCTCACCTGCATTAATTTCCCGAGACACTTTACGCTTCATCCACGATCTACCCGACGAACGCTACCCATACTTCAACGATTCCAACACATAGCTTGGATCCCCCGATCTCATATCTGTTCTTTTTGGGCTCCAACTCATTTGTACTTTTTACTACTACGGTTTTTACCCCTCCTCGACCGAATTCACGTTTTCTTCATCTTGCATCGTACGTTCAAGTATACATATATATACTCAATTGTACTATCATTGTAGCTATATAGTAGCCTTTTGCCATACTCTTTTGCGTTGCTGCGAAATGCGTCAAGGACAGGGTAAAGCTGAGACTGTTCCAGCGATCTTTGTGGTTTTTAAGTCTTGCGCTGCATTGACGATATACATCCAACATAAAGGATCGTGGCAAGAATCGCTTATTATTAACATTTTCCTATATGTAGCAGTAATACGTTCTGTCAGATTGCCCACGATATGTATAAGATCCAAAACAAAGGAAAGTTCGCAACGTCCTGCGAGTGGTTGGAAAAAGGACAGGGTATGTTAGTCACAAGCTTGTACGTGAGTACTTTTTCGTCGCCCGTGCACGAGTATTATCCAGCAAGTCAGTAAATCCATGAATGGGGAGTTGTATCCAGAACGAATTGTTTCGACCGCGAGGAACAGGAAACAGGTGGGTATCTGGGGATTATTGCGGTGAAATGGGTGGTCGGGGTTTAGTGACTTCCTGGTATATCAGGACTATATGACGAGGAACGATATTTCAGTAAGCAGTAAGTAGCGTGAGATCGTCAGGTGGCGTACGTTTTAGCTGTTCCTTCGTCAACTCTTCGCCATAGTCGAAATCAAAGAAGGATGGGTCAAGCGGGGCTGCCGTAGGCTCGTCATTCGGGTCGTGATAGCTCTGTGTGTATGCAGAAACAAAAGAAGGAGTTAGATCTCATGACATCATTGATATGTCGAGGCCGGAGCACAGACGGAGGACTGAAATAGAGTACAGAATAGGTGTAACCTCGGAAAAAGGTACGCTGAAAGTCAATCCACGTGAAGAGGCACCAGAACACACATAATTAAACCTTTGGGCGGTGAATAATTGACACAGTGCGAGTGCCGAAGAAACGAAAATAGCAGGCGAGGGAAATGGAGAACAGCGAACCTCGAGATACGGATGCCTCAGTGCTTCATTCACATCTATTCTCCGCTTCGGACTGAACGTGAGGCATTTCTCCATCAGGTCTAGTGCCTACAGACAGATGTAATCAGTGGGATGGAACGGATATGATAAAACAGGACACGGAGTACGGGGAGTGGGAAGTACAAGAGAGATAAGAGCTGAATTCATCAAAAAATGAGGATGAACTTACCAGAGGGTTGGCACCAGGGAACAAGGAACTAAATGGTTTCTTCTTCCTAAACGGCAATGCTCGAATGTACTCTCTTGACCGTTGCGAGGTGATAGCATAGAAATCGTCCAGCGAAGGAGTCCCCAGTACATCTAGAATTAGCGATAACTGGTGGTGATCTAGGAGACGAGGTCAGCCTGGATTCCATGTTCCCACAGACATGACTACAGCAATCACAACGCGCAACAAAAGGGAACGGATTGAAATACGATGTTGTTAAAACAACATATGAATTGGTCGAACAGTATACTCACAGTCTCGCCCGGGGAACAATGGATTCCCGCTCAACATCTCGGCCAGTACACAACCGACCGACCAGATATCAATCGCCCGGGTATATTCTTTGAACGTGAGCATGACTTCTGGCGCACGATACCATCTACACCACCAAACAGTCAGCGTCGGAATAGAAGGCACGAGGCTCAGTCCACATTGTTGCCCCACAGCAATACAAATAGCTTGAACAGGATTGATATCGAGGAAACTGGTGAGAAGGCTTTGAAATTGAGACCCCAGGAACCATTTGGAGACGGGCAGAAAGGTAGAAGAGGTGGTGTGGAAGGAAGGCAGACGTCAAGCAGGGAGCTGGAGACATTACCTTGTAGCGACGTATTCGGTCATGAAAGTATTGCTGTCATTCGCAACGTTTGGAGGTGGTTGAGCTGAACGCGCGAGTCCAAAGTCACATAACTATTGGAAAGATAATCAACACGATCGGAAAACATCATCTCAATGAAGCATTGGTCTATGAAAAAGATATAGAGAGATGAATAGAGATCGCAAAGCATACCTTGAGATCGCAATTTGCATTCAGCAGCAGGTTCGATGGCTTCAAGTCACGGTGAAGAACGTCGGCCGAATGCAGTGCCTTCAACGCGCGCAGGGTCTAACCAAAGATGGACGCACGCAAGTCAGAAGCAATCAGATTGAGCCCGACGCCAACACACCTGGTAGATGAAATACTGACAATGATCATCGCTCAGGACCTGGGTTCGGATGACCCTATGCAAGTCGGTCTCCATGAGCTCCTGGACCAGATACACCTCCTTAAAGTCATCAAGGGAGGGTGGTCGTAGAATGTCAAGGATGCTGATGATGTTTTCGTGGTGAAAGTGACGGAGGAGCCGAATCTCACGAAGAGTACGAAGGGAGAACATGCTATGGTCGAACGGAGTGATGCGCTTGATTGCAACTTTGCGACCGGAGGGGACGTGAACCGCTGAACTGTGGGCCACGATTGAAGCAAAAGATAGAGTATATGCGTCAACGCGTTATAATACGGTCAGTAGAGAGGCGTACCAGACAATACCGTAGGCACCCTCGCCGATCACGTCGAGAACCTGATAGTTGCTGCCCACGACAAAGTTCTGCAGTCGTTCGTCCATGTCCGACGTCGCTGGCGAATGTGAGACGGAGGTTAGATGAAGAGTGCTGGTCAAGCGAGCATGCCAAGTCCGAGGAACAATAACGGCGATCAGACCATACATGTCCATTCTAGGCTATGCAGGCAAATATATTACTTGTCATAGCTCGCGTAATACAGCATAGAATGCATTGTAAGCTATCCGATAAGGCTGGATTGCAGAGTGTTTTGCCTCATATAGGTAGCTTGTCGCGGCCTTCTTCTGCTCTTGACGAGACGATACAAGAACCGGACGCCTGTTTGTTAGTTCCATACCACTCCTTTCTTGCTCTATTCCCCCGTAATCGCCTCGTAATTCCATGCCCGTATCCGATACCAAGCAGGACGAGTCTTTTCACGACTCGGGCTCTCATGAGCCCGATAGCAGGGAAAAAGACAAGGACAGGGATCGTTCTGGCAAGGGAAAATCGTCGGCCAAGAGTACGTCTCTGTGTTTTGCATATACAACTATATACAAACACATTACTTGCAGCGAAAGACCTCTCCCATGTACCCTGCAAATTTTTCAGAGTCGGCTCTTGTACTGCAGGCTCTTCCTGCCCCTTCTCTCATAACGTCCTCGAGCCGGGTCAGCAAAAAGAAGTATGCGCCTGGTTTGTCAAGGGCAACTGCAAGTTTGGTCACAAGTGCGCCTTAGCACACATTCTTCCCGGACAGAGCATGTCTATGGACAGGAAGAATAAGAAAGCCGCTCAGGCTGCTGCGAATGCTGCCGGAGGTGGTGGATCGGGAGGAAACAGGGATAGAGAGGGCCGTGGCGGAGGTCGTGGAGGCAAGAATGCCCCCAGAGGTGAGCAAAGAGATGGCTCCCGTAATGCACTGTTGTCGGGATCTACGGCACCTACGCGCACGCTCTCGTCCTCGAGGGGATCTATGCCTATGCCCATGAAGGCTACTCTTTCACCATCTGCACCTGCACCTCCTGTAAAAGACACCGATTTCGCGTCTTTTGGTCTACCGGACGAGGCGAATAAGTTGTCCTCTCCACCTGCTCAGGGAAAACCTTTGGCCGAGGGATCACCAGAAGGGAACTCTGATGAGACAAGGGACGAGACAGAGACAGTGGCTGTGGCTGAGGAGTCGGAGCCTGGAAAGACTTCGCCATCGCCTCTGCCTACCAGTGTTCCTTCCGCACGTCGCAGCGGCCTGTCTCAAACCGATTCCCCAAGCGCAGTCGATTTCGGACCCATCGGTTCTCCACCACAAGCTTCTCCAGCTGGTATAGCACGCGTCAACGGATTCTCTCCTGGTACTTCTCCCCACCATTTGTCCACGTCGCCTTTCAGTGCACCAGGTACCCAAACATCTTTCCTCATTCGTGAACAGCTAGACATTAGCAATGACCTCAAGACAAAATCGGGTTTATCGGCGTCTTTGGGTGCTATGGTGTCTTGGGGCTCCGATCTTAAGTCTTCACGGAGGAATGGCTTGGGTATCGGAGGAAGTTCGCTATCCAACGACATCGTTGTGGAGGATGAAGACCTGGAGGAGTTCATTCCCGGTTCACTATCTGACCTACTTACACCAGAAGAGCGATCGCGACGATTCTCACGTACGAACTCAGGAAATCGTCCGCACATGGCCGTCGTCGACTCTACCAGAGACGCCATTGGCCCAGGTCATCATCATACCTCGATCACGGGTGCTACACCAACCGATAGTGCACATCATAGATATTCTCGTTCCGTGCCGGCACCTTCACTACTACAAGATATTCGCTCAATCTGGACAGACACTAATACCGCGATACCAGGCTCGCCGGATACCCTTGGGGCTGGGACCCCAATCACTGGTGGTGGTTTGGGTAACGGTACGCCCAGTAGCTTCCAGTCCGGATCTGGCTTTGGAAGCCGCCTTGACGAAATGCTTGCCCCTACAAATGCATCTGCCGCTTTCTTGCCCGGACTTCACCATTACATCAAGAACAAGACTGCCGGAGGATTATCTGCTACGGGTGGAATGTCTTCTCTATACCCACATGGGCCCACTGGTTCAGCAACAATTACACCTTCTGGAGGAGCATACAATACTGCTGGTCTGAATGGAATGGCTCTTTCGCCACCTCGCGCAAATCCCGCTCATCGTTCCGCGTTCGGCGAAGCACCAGGATCGTCCGAAACCTACCTCTCCGCCACCCGCCATCTCTCCAACCTTGGTCGAACTGCTGTCGGACCGGACCCTCACCTTCCTCACCTCAATCATGACAGGCGAAACGCCCTCTCACCGTCCGCATTGGCGCTACAGGCCCATGCGCCTGGTCAGAGTCTCCCGCAAGGCCTGGCTGCCGGCTATTCAAGAATCCACGCGCTACCTCCACCCGTGATAGCTTCTCCCAATGGATCGACGGCTGCCTTCAGTCCCGGGAGGTCATTGACAACTGGTGCTGGATTCTCACCTAGTAGGAAGGCATTGGGACATTCGTCTGGGTTGTCTGAGGAGTGGAGAAACATGTCTTCTGGAACAGGTATTATTCCCGAGCAACAGCAACAGACTTCTGTCAATGCCGGCGTCGCTTCGACATCAGCTACGACAGGATCGGGATTAGGTGGCTTGGACTCAATGTTCTCTCGTCTGTCCTACTCCGCCGCTGCATCACGTATGTGCAATTCATATTTGGTATGTTTGGAAAACCACTGATCGCGTACTGTATTTAGGACCAAGCGCAGCGCCACCTGGTATCGTTGCACGTAATCCCAGTGGAAGAGGACACAACCCGCAAGGACCCTTGAGCCCCTTAAGCGGACCAGTACTTACTGGCGACGATGACGACCTGTTCAGTATGGACGGCTAAAGTCATATAACGAAGGTACTAATGAAGATTAAAAGTACGAATGCTTGAAGTGTATTCGATGTATTCTGTGGGACGGTCGTGTGTAAGTAATATGTTCGTCTTCTCTCACATGGGTGCGGAAGAGGGAGGGAGACGATTTGTCGAAAGTACTACCTATATATACGCTGTTCTCTTACTATATTAGCTCTCACTTTTTTTGGTTACCACATTCGTAGTGCGGTTGGCGAGCGAACGGACTCGTACAGTACTGATACCTGGCCATACGCGTTGAAGTTGCTTCGGGTGTTTCATAAGTAAGATGGCATGTGCACGAGTCGCCATGTCTCGCAATATTGTGGGGGCGATGTGTTTATAGCGCTAGAACGGTTGTTGGTTAAGAGCGCCATGTGGATCCCCATGTCAAACAGGAAACTCGAGTATGTTGGCGGCCTCGGACTGGTAAAATCATTTACTTATCTCCTCGAAGGTAATTTCAATGTTATAATTATACATCTTCACAGGAACACCTAGTCCCCCCGACGCCCGCAGACATGATACCGACCAAGTCAATTTCGCAGATGAACTCATGATCGTCGACATCCGAATATTGAAGAAGACGGCGTTGGGAAGCAATTCGAAGTCCCCATTGGTAGGCGGTCGGCTGATAACTTACGCCATGAGACTCCGCGCTGACCTTATGGTGCTTCGCAGGAAGCTTGCTTAAGCAATTGTCAGTCCATTCGACGGCAGCGTGGATCGTATCAAGACAGCAATAGGCTGAGTGATGTCCTCGAATGCACCTGGGGGCTCTGCTATCTGCCGCTACTGAAAGGGCTACCATGTGGAGGTTCACGCAACTCGAACCGGCGCATCAACAGATACACACAGCGTTGCGGGGCATTAGCGTGCGCATTCAGGTCTTGGCAAAGGGAGAAGCCACGGAAGCTGAGAAGCACCCACGATATGCCACCCGCCGGCGAAAAGGAAGCGAAGATGATCCTTACAGGACTTTACTTATCTTTCGAGGCGTATCAAGATTCGGCGAATATTCAGCTCCTTAATGGCAGGAGTGGCCATAACCCATGGATGCAACGTTTTCGCACTGGTTTTCTCACCTTTCTGGTCCATGTTGGCCGGGGCTATCTTTGGAGCAACTGGAGTCTGGGTGCATCATGCTTCACCATGTCAGATTCCCTGCTCACAGGGACCTGAACGCATGATAACCTTCCCTAGCGCTGTCTTTCTGGACCCATTTAATCCCAGGGCCGTTCTCTGCTCTGTCTCCCTTGACAGGGACTTCTGCTGTTCCCCGCACTGTCATGGCCACGGTACAAGGACTTCCTGCCGCCCCTCGCGACTCCCAGCGTAGCAAGTCCTCCTCGTACGACGAGAAGTACGATGAGAAGGGCGACTCTGCCTCCGTTGTCCAGTCAGTGCATGGCGATGTCTACGACGATGTTCGTGATATTGACCTCGGCGAAGACGGTAAAGAACGACCCATCGGTATGTTACTGCCCTTCCATGTTGAGTATTCGTAGAGACTCACATCAATTCAGAGACCGATATCGATGTCGCTACACGTCTTATCTCCTTGGAGGATGACCCCACGTTACCCATATTCACCTTCAGGATGTGGTTCCTCGGCCTTGGGCTTTCTTGCTTCGGCGCTGTACTGGGTCAGATTTTCGTATGTAGCCTTCGATCGTTCGTGCGCCTCCCGATTTCACTAACCACGATTGATCATCTTCAGTATTTCCGTCCCCAGACTGTTTTCGTCAGTCAACTCTTTCTACAGATCATTGCCTACATCCTCGGCCGTGTTGGCGAAGAGATCATCCCTGGTCCTGGAAATCCTCACCCTTCCCTACGTATGTCCGACAATGCGTTCTGGCGCTTTATGAATCACGGTCCCTTCAGTAAGTGGTCAATTTGACATCTTCACCTGCTCTTTACTTAACTAGCCTAGACATCAAGGAGCATGTCGCCATCACGATCTTCTCCACTACAGCTGCCGAATCAGCGCTGGCGATCAGTATCTTTGCTGCTGACTCGCTATACTACAACATCTCGCCCAACGTCGGTGTCGGGATCTTCACGCTCATCGGCTCCCAACTCATTGGCTATGGTCTCGGAGGCTTGATGCGTTCTTTCCTCGTCTACCCTACCTACATAGTATTCCCGAACTTGTTGCCTACCGTCCAGCTCTTCGATGCGCTCCACCGTGGCAAGGGCATATTTGCCCAGGTCAAGCGTGTCAAGTTCTTCTGGTTTATCTTCCTTGGTATCTTTGTCTGGGAATGGTTCCCCGAGTACATCGCACCGTGAGCAAAGACTGGCTTTTGGTGTTGATTCAAACTCATCATTCGTTCATCTAGAACTCTCACCGGTATCAGCATCTTCTGTCTTGCCGACCGTCATTCGCCTTGGGTCACACGTATTTTCGGTGGGGCTGCAGGTAACGAAGGTCTCGGGATGTTCGCCATATCGCTCGATTGGAACTATGTTGGCTCTGGTGGAGGTTCGATGGGTGCACTATTCACCCCCATCTCCACTCAGCTATCGCTATATGTAGGTGTGGCTATTTGCATGTATGTTTTTTCTTCATCTTTCGCAAGTGCGGCAGTTACTCACCGCCTGTGTAGGATCACGTTCTGTGCCACCTACGCCGCGAACACTTGGAATGCCCAGAGCTTCCCTTTCCTTTCACAAGCTCTCTTTCTCGAGAATGGCGATCCCTACGATCAGCTTTCTATTCTTGACGACGATCTACGTCTCGATGAAGCTAAGCTTGCCACTGTCGGACTTCCTTGGTTTGCTCCGACCCAAGTGCTTTACAAGATCGGTGCCAACCTTGCTATCGGTGCCACCATTACCCATGTCATCCTCTGGTACGGTAAGGAGATTATTGAGATTATCAAGAAAGAACGTCGTGGGGAAAGTGTAGATCCCCATCGTGAGCTCATGAAGGCCTACCCTGAAGTCCCGATGTGGTGGTATGGTGCCGTCTTCTTGGGCAGCTTCGCGATGGCTATGGCGACCGTCTACACCTCTGGTTCGCAACTTCCATGGTGGGGTCTTATCGTTGCTCTTATCATTTCCGCCATCTTCCTGCCCTTCGTCGTCACTGTGTATGCTATTACCGGTAAGCTCTTTTTCATTGTACCCATTCAAACGTGATCTCTGATGTTGCACTTCATAGGTTTTACCCCCGACATTCAGAGTTTGGTTCAGATGCTTGGTGCTTGTATGATTCCTGGTAGCCCTCAGGCCAACATGTATTTCACACTCTACGGCTACAATACTCTCCAACAAGCTCGCGGTATTATCCGTGATCTTAAGATGGGCCAATATACAAAGCTTCCCCCCCGCGTGACCTTTACTGTACAAGCAGTCGGGGCCGTTGTTGTAAGTTGTTACAAATGTTGTTTGTTATCGTCTAACTGTGCCATTCGTGTAGGGTGGACTCCTTAATTACATTATCATGAAGGTCATCATCTCCGCTCAGCACGATATTCTCTTGGACATTCAGGGTTCCAATGTTTGGAGTGGTCAACAAGTTCAGGTATGCTAGTTGTTTACGACTTGCATCATCATTACTGATTCACTGTACTATTATCAGAGCTTCAACAGTGACGCAATCACCTGGGGTGCTCTTGGCAACCATCTTTATGCTCCTGGTGGTCGATATGGCGTACGTTTTCATGTCTATCTGTACGATTTGGTCTATCTAAGAATTTTCCTTCAGATCGTCCCCTTCGCGATCCTCATTGGCCTTGCTGTTCCAGTTCCATTCTGGCTTATCCATAAGAAGTTCCCCACCATTCATGCGGACAAAGTTGTCACTCCCATCCTGTGCTGTGAGTGTCGTCTCATTGACGTTCTTGTCAGTCTTCTACTCACACTTAATATCCACTTCTAGGGACTCTCGGTTATCTGAGTGTTGGTATCAACTCTTCCGTCTTCACGACTTTCACGATGGCCGTCTTTTCCCAATTTTATCTGCGTCGCTACCGTCCTCGCTGGTTCCGCAAGTACAACTTCCTCCTTAGTGCGGCGCTCGATGGTGGAACTCAGGTCATGGTGTTTGTCTACACCTTCGCCGTAGGCGGTGGTTCTGGTACCGTTCGTGACTTTCCTAACTGGGCTTTGGTAGGTTTTTTTTCTACTTCGAAACTTATTGCACTCACATCTTATTCCTGCAGAACCCAGTTGGCAATCCTGATTATTGCATGAGGTTGACTTGATGTATACTTAATGATATATGAATTCTTATGAGAACAAGTGTATAATGCCATTCTGCTATTACTGTACCATTTCGATCAGTTCGGCACTAGGTGTGACCTGTGACACCTTCATTCGAAATGTTGGTTTCAGCCGGAGGGCCAGTGACCTGTGACCAGTAGTATATTTTTTGGCACCGAAATTTTGACAAACCCTACTACAGAATTCTTGTTCACTACTAGTGGTCATTGAGCCTCCACTCACATAAAAAACCTGCCTCACAATGAATGAAAACAAATTGAATGCATTGTCTGTACCTCCAGACATCAACCGTTCTATTCTACCTATCCACCAGCTTTCTATACACGAGTTTCTCAAATACCCAATTCCTCTGGTGCTTTCCTCTCAGTCAAGTCAATGCGCACTCAGGCCAGGATATTTCTTCTCATGGTGTGAAGCTCCTTATTGTGAGGATCCCTCAATTATTCAATCGATGCCTACTCTGCCTATCTCCATCATAGAGGAACTTGTGGCAACAGCACCCGAAGCAATCAAGCAAGGGGCAGAGGCAATTCTCTGTCACCACCTTCTGACAGCCTTGACATATTAAACATATATGCCGCTGTGGATCATCACCTATTAGAGGCATGTTATCTACATTCAGGAGAGATATCAGATATGGGCCAAGGCAGAGAAGAACCTACAGAAACACACTCATACTGTTGGCAGAAGGGGTGTTGTAGATTCTGATGCAGACTTGATGCGCTTGATTGATGACATTCATGTTGCACTTACGGTGTTGCCATGGAGTGGAGTTATTGAGGAATTCGATATCGCAATTGAGACCACATACCTGGCTACATATATGACAAATGAATAGTTCACATCTGATCATGAAGATCAGATGCTTGACCTGCTATGAAGATCAGTGCTCAGCCAATCAAACTCTACGAAGATTGAGATTGGAGTTACACCTTGCTGAAGTGCTGAAGGATGCGATGAAGAATGAGGAGGAGTATTGTGGTGGTGGATGACAGTTCACATGGCCTCATGGACTTGGACAAGCCTTGGCTATAGAAAAATGTCAACAACTTGCAGTGATTGCCAACATTGCCAACTTACACTGAGTTGCCATTGTCTTGGATTTCAAGAACAAAACTATTTGATTTGAAGACTCAATGTCATATGAGATAGACTAGGAACTTCACTCTACACTAGAGTGGTGGACAACATATCACACTGAGGTCTTGTTCACCCTCAGACATCTTCCCATCTCAATGCAAAAGGATAGCTATAATTGCAGTCTGTTTGCTTGGAATACGCTCACACACTTCTTCACACCAAATCAGTATTCACTCATTGCAGCACATGATACTGTGAATGAACATCTTTGAGTTATGAAGCAGATCCTGCAGCATCATGATAACCACATAAGTGCTGAAAGTATGATAATTCTGCAATGTGGAACTTACCAGTTTAACAGTGCTTTGACCAGGATGCTACACATAGCGACAACATCCCAGCAGGCTATGAGACACCCTCTCATAACTCTGATTATTCTGTTGAGATCCTGAATATAGATAATGTTAGCATTTATTCATGGAATCACTTCAATAATTACAAAGATCCCCCTTTGTCATCTGCACCATCTGAAATATCACTTGAATTTAGTGAGGTTGGAATGGACTTCAGCAAAGGTAGGCCGGGCTTTGGCAGGGGTAGAACAGACTTCAATGAGATTGATGATAATGACACTGGATCTGTAGTGGCAGCTATATTATTATCAGAAGATGATTCAGATGAAGTGATGAAGACAAAGACCGTATCTCTACCTGATAATGATTCAAAGAAAATCTCACTGCTGAATTTCTTCCACTGTTGCTCCAAGGAGGAGTACAATGCCCAAGTTGTGTAGGAGGCAGAGGCATTCTTACTCAAGCAAGATGCTGTTCGGCAATGAGAAGAGAGGGTAGCTATCAAACACCAAGGAGTAAAGACTGCTCATGCAACACAGTAAAAATGAGACCAGTGAGCCCAAAAGAAGGCTAAGCAGGGAATCAAAGGTGAAACCGCAACTGATGCACCACAATGTCAATACAGCTACACTGTTATATTATATTCCCCACCCAAAATTGACTTGTCACTTCAGGCTGAGCATTCATGGCCACAGCATGAACTCATCTGAACATTCAAGGATTCCCATCATAAAGTTCAAGGATGAAAATGGACATGTGAAGACAAGCCTGCAGTCTATATGAACTAGTTTGTGCCCTCAGTTTGGATAAAGCTCCAGCAAGCAGCAAAATGTGCAGGACTGAAGATGAAACCTGAGACAATCATTCACTATGCCAAACAGATAGATCCAATCACCTTTGTAAAATTCAATTGCAGTATGGTTTACAGTTGGATAGACTGAAGTAGTCTGACACCTAAATGGAAGCAGTCAGTGCTTGATCGCGCAAATCATGGAAATAATACAGGATGCGATAACAAAGGTGGATGCTGTGGAATACTTGTCAGTTTTCATTTGACACCTTGCTCGATGGAAGAAAACTCACTCATGTTATTAGGCTAGATATCCTGCCATTAGCAAAGAGATTTAGGCATATCTCTTGACTATCTGACAGGGATCTGCACTCATGTCAATTGTGACTGTGCATAGAATCATCCTGGCAACTATCTAAAAGCATGCTCCAGAGATGCTTCAGATAGTCTTTCCTGATGGATTGATATTTTGAGCATCTGATTCATACATGCGCAAGTTTCTTCATGGCATTATAAAGTGGTCACCATGAAAAGGTACTCAGGCAGCACAGAAACTTCCTGTAAACTGAAAAGATCAATGTAGCCAGTCAGCGATGCGCAAAGCATATATGATGAAGGAACATGACATTTCTTCTGATCTATATGTAAACTCCGATCAAACCCAGATGGTCTATGCATCCAGCGGTAAGCTTACATGAGCTGAAACTGATGCAAAGCAGATTTTATTAGTAGATGGTGATGAGAAGTGGGCATTTACCCTTATAGTATTAGTCTCAAACTCTGGGGATCTCCTACCTATGCAAGCGATCTATATGGGAAAGATATCAGCATCAATATCAGATACCACATTACCCCACTATGATGACTGTATACTCACACCCATAATAAGGAACTGGCATTTAGACGCCCAGCGCATCGTGTCGCATATGGATGTAGTTTTGTTTAGTCTGTACTCCAGCATCCACCTATAACACATGCACTTGTTATGCTCATTACTAAATCTTCTCACTCTCAACATGATTCTCCTAAGAAGAACCGGCTAGTTGGAGCCATCCAAGCTGGCATGAGCATCACTGAAGTGGCACGGCTTACAGGCATCCCACGCCAGACAGCATCAGACATCTGGCACAAGTACGTCAAAACTGGCACCACACACAATTGCCCCCATTCTGGTTGTCCACACAAAGTCACAGATCGCATGAAGGCTCTGGTGGTGAGAAGGGCAGTGAAAGAGCGGAGAGTGACATTTGCAGAGATTGGAAACCAGGTAGACCCGAAGATCAGTGAGGGCACTGTTCGGAGCATTCTCAAGAAATGAGGATATGATCATCAGATTGCTCGTCAAGTGCCATTCCTTACTAAGAAGCAGAAGAAGGCTCGCATGCATTGGGCACAGAAATACAAGAGCTTTACAAGCCAGGATTGGCAAGAAGTTGCATTCTCCAATGAGTGCTATATTTGCTTGGGAGATGATCGAGGCTGAATCTACATTACATGCCGTCCTGATGAAGTCTTGCAAGAGGAATGCCTAGTATCAACCTTCAAGCAGTCCTCCATCCGTGTTATGGTCTGGGCTTGCATTATTCAGGGGCACAAGGGGCTGTTAATTGTGTTGGAAGACCCAGGAGGAAGAGATGGGGGTATGAACACTGCTAGATATCGGGAACAGGTGTTGGATGGGGTTTTTTTGGATTGGTATAAAGAGATGAAGCTACAGAGGGGTCCCATTACTTTCCAACAGGACAATGCTCCATGCCACACCAGCAAATCAACCCAGCGATGGTTCACTGATCATGAGATATCACTTCTCTTCCATCCCCCCAATTCCCCAGATCTCAATCCCATTGAACGTGTTTGGCATGAGCTCAAATCTGCTCTGCGTAATCTCAGGCATCCTCTGAATACCCAAGAACAGCTTCAAGCTGCTGTCCATCATGTGTGGGATGAATTACCTATAGAAGATGTGAACAAGCACATCAATTGGATGCCAGACAGAGTTGAGGCTGTCTTGGCTGCTCATGGTGGACATACGAGTTTTTAAATACATAGATAGCTAGAATAGATATCTAATACATTGTATATACAGTTGTAGTGCTGTCTGTTCCATAGATAGTCAGTTGTCTCCTCCTCAAATCAATGCGAGTCACATGACACGACGCACCGCATGTCTGGCGCTGGTTACTTATTGTGGGCATGAGTAAAAGCAGGAATGCTCTTTAAAGCATTAGAAATAAAAACCTATTGGTCTAATCAGAAGACAATGCAGAGCTTTGTTCATGAGATCTTGGCTCTATACTTCAATGCTCGAAAGGAGTGCCTAGGATTACCGGCTCATCAGAAGGCTTTGTGGTAGATCGATGTTTGGTCAGTATATCATTCACAGCTATTTTGAACCTGGATGAAAGCCAAGTACTCATGAATTGTTGTTGACTTTATATCTGGAGGCTATACTGGGGTTGCGCAGCCATGCAATGTGGGTATCCAATGACCCCTCAAGCACATTATCAAGCAATGCTATTATGAGAATGTGATGAGTGAGCTATTGAGCTATATGATAGATAGTGATACTCACAATAATACCGCAGTAATGCTTAACACCTGGTTAGGCATTCTGCGTGATCATTCTCCAAGATGGATCTGGCATGCCTATACTAAGCTGAATGAGCCTAAGCTGGTAAAAAAGGTGAGTGCACATATCACAACAATGAAGAAAAGATACAAACCTCTCTCCTGTAGGTATTCGAAATATGTCGTGCACATGAATGGAACCTTTCATATGAGTCTCTCACCAGCTTTGCAATGTGAGAGAACCTCAGGAACCTCAAGTTCACTGACCCAGAATTCTGGTGTGAGCTAATCACTAAGCCTTCTGAGAACCTCTGCCCACCTGAGGATGTGACCATATCAGAAGGCCAAGAGGCCGAAAAGAATGATGATGAAGATGCTGGCAATGATAGTCATCTTCCACTTGAAGCCATACTGGAGCATATGTATGAAGAGACTTGCTTGCCTGAGGTCACTCAAGGAAAAGAAGGTGATCTTTCATTGATGGCACAAGTAGAGATGATTC